GGGTCTGAGTGACGGGGCCTGTGGTCTGACGCCCCCCCCTGTAATCCTCTCTCTCTGGCTGTAGCTGGAGATCAGGCGGCGGGAGCAGCGGGACACAGCCCGGGCCCTGTGGTTCTGGGCCTTGTCGCTTCAAGCAAAGGTACCGGGGCTCCGCATCCCACCACCCGGCTCCTCGAGAGAGCGCTGTGCCTTGGTGGGAGGGCAGGGCGGGCTGTGGGCACAGCCCCCGGAGGGTCCCAAAGGGAGAGCTGGGCCTCACGTCCACCCCCTCCCGGAGGTGTGGGCCGCGTGGCTGGACTTTGTGCTGGAGAGGAGGAGGAAGAAGGCGAGGCTGGAGCGGGCGGTGCAGGCCTACCACCAGCAGCTCCTCCAGGAGGGCGCCACCTGCCTCCTGCGGTTCGCAACGGGCATGAAGGCCCTCCGGCAGCAGCTGCACGCCCAGCAGCAGGCGCTGGTAGGCCCAGGCTCCCCTGCCTTGGGGGTGGGGGGCACAGAGGGAGCAAGCAGGACATGCCACGACCTCACAGAGGCTGTTGCAGGCGGCCCACAGCCTCCACCGGGCAGTCCACCGCTGTGCCATGCTCTGGAAAAAGAAGGTGCTGGGCCCCAGCCGGGCACCTCCCCCCACCACCACCGCGCCCAGCAGGAGAGTGACATTCAGGGGTCCCCTTCCCGACCACATCAGTGCTGCTGCTGGAGATGCGGCCTCGGAGACCAGGCGGCCAGGAGCCCCTCACGGCCCACAGGGTGCTCTGCGCAGCCTGGCCCTGGATGCCGGGGACCCCCCGCTCCTGGAGCTGTGAGTAGCCACCCCTCACCTCTTCCTCTCTGCTCCCGCCTGGGGCAGAAGCTTGGGCTGTCCTGCACCGAGGACACTGGGAGCCTCCTCAGTGCAGGAGAGCAGTTAGCAAGAGGGCAGCCCTGCCCGTGTCCCGCCGACCCTTACAGCCAGGAAACGGGGGCCCCCTCTCAGAAACTCCACTTTTTGTGCTCTGGCTCCTGCCCCATAGCCGCACACTGAGCTGCTGCAGCTGTTGCTTCCAAAATGCCCAGTGCTGCCTGAGCCCGAGCCTGGGGAAGGTCGCCCGTGGGGAGGGGCCCAGGCTGGTCCTGCTCTGCTTGCCTCACTCCCCCCCCCCCCCCCCCAATTCCGACTCTAACAAGGGCCGCACCCTGACAGGCCTGTTCCCCGTGATGTGGGACAAGCAGCTGCATCACCAGGGTCACTGGAGGTCAGAGGAGATGATGTGGGAGAGGGATCAGGCTCGCTTCATGGAGATGCCAATTCGGTGTGGCCCGCGCCTACCCCAGCTCCCATGTTGACCTTGGGCAAGAGCTGCTCCTCTGGCCTGCAGTCTTCCCATGAGATCGGGTGGTTGGGCTGGATGACGACCCCTTCCCGGGTCTCAGACCCCTCTGCCCCTGGGCAGCCCGAGGAACAGGCCTTGTTTCTTCCCAGCAGTGCCGTCCGCTGCGCGAGGAAGCAGCCACGACGTCCCAACTTCCTGCTGGAGCCCTTGCAGAGCCAGAGGCCCCTGGAGGGTGGCAGCCTCGGGCGGCAGGGGTAGGTCGTGGATCTTGAGCCCCCATAGTACCTCCATCCAGGGCATATGATTTGGGGTCTGAGGGTGGGGGTGAGTCAGGAGGATGCTGAGGCCTGACCAGCCTGCCTTCCCTCTGCTCAGGCCTGAGACATTGAGAGAGCAAGACCTAGGCCTGGCCCAGCCCGCAGACCCTTCCCAGACGAGGCCCTTCCTGGAAAAGCCCCAGGCAGCCTTGGTCCCAAGCGCGCTGCCCCAGCCTGGGGCCCTGCCAAGTGTTCCTGGCCTGAGGCTGGCCCCCATGGCGAGTACAGGCCCGCAGCTGCTGCCTCCTTCCTCCTTCATGCCCGGTGGGGTGGATGCACCCACCAAGGTGAGTCCTCTCTGGTCACCTGGCTCCCATTCTTTGGTCCGGCCTTTAGGGCTCCTGTACTTGCTGCTTCTGGAACACCCACCTCAGCAGACATGGGGCCACTCATTCATTCACCGAGTGCAGGCGCCACTGTCTGAGGGCACAGGAGTGGACAGCCCGCCAGCCCCTGCTCCTGAGGTTACGTATGTCCCCAGTTGTGGGGACAAGACCAGCAGACACAGACTGCAGGTCACGGAGGGCCGTGCAGGCCCTGCTGAAGTTTGGCTTTAAGGAGAGGGAAGTCGTGGAGGCTGGCTGGCCGCAGCAGACGTTGGCCGAGACCCTGGTGAGAGGCAGGACTTGCTCTGCTGGGTCCGAGACCAGTGAAGGAGGGAGCCTGCTACCTCAGGGAATAATGAGTTCTTTCACTGAGAGAAGGAACACTGGGTCCCATTTGGGGTGAAGCATGAAGTGTTTCTCAACCTGTCAAGTTTGAGATAAAGCAGCCGGCTTGTGAGTCTGGCCTTCAGGGAAGTCGGGTCTGGAAACCACAGTTGAGAATAGAAATCGAGGGGTCGGGGCAGGGAGTGAGGAGGCATGAGTGCTCAGTAACGCAGGCCACGGCCTGGGGCTGGGCCACCCCAAGGAGCTGGTGTCTTGAGAGCCGTGGGAGCGGTGAGGGTGACGGGAGGGGACATGGCTCTCACGAGGGTTGTAGGAGGGCGGCTGGACACTTCACTGAAGGACAAGGCCACAGCTGGGAGACAGGCAGGGGTCAGGGTCAGGCAGACTTGAAGCAGCAGCCCAGAGCGGTGCTCAGCAGGCACGGCGGAGGGTGGGCCAGACTGCAAAGGTGTGGGGTGCTCCCTGGTTGCTTTGGGGTCGGCCCTGAAGGAAGAAGGGCTGAGCCTGGCTGTTGGCCGCTGTGAAGCCCAGCTCCTGGGGCCTCCTCGACCGACCCTGCAGCTGGCAGCCTTGGCGCCTGTCCCAGGCTTCCTCCAGCTTCTTTGTGTCCATCCTTTACAGGCACCAACATGGCTGACCTCCCCTGGCCTTACGCCCCAGGCCCCGCTATCCCTGGCCAGTGTCCCCGACTCCCGTCTGCTCCTTCCTGAGCACCTCACAGGTGGGCCTGGCGCTGAAGCCGCAGGTGTGCACCTGAGGTCTGTCAGCGCACCAAGCACTCAGGCCACTGCCAGCGCCTCGGTCCCCTCCCTTCAGCCTGGGCCCAGCTGGGAATGTGGTCAAGATCAAGTTCATTGTCCTGTTGCCCTGGGCCACAGCGACCTGGAGGCTGAGCTTGAGGGCATCCAGCGGCAATTGCAGGACTACCAGAGCATGAAGCAGAGCCTCCGGTAAGGCCCACAAACACCCTGCCCACGGAGCAGCTGGGGGTGCTGCCAGGGCCCTGGGGCGATTCACCTGCCGAGCCCTTGCACAGACGGCACCTTCACCGCTCAGTCCTGCTCAGGAAGGCTGTTGGCCTTACCTGTGGGGGGCGAACAACAAAGCTGAGCATAAGTAAACACGACTGGGCCACGTGAGAGCTGGGCCAGCCGTCTCTCCAGTGATTGTGATGTGGGAGAAGCTACAAAGACCAGCCTGGGCCCCAGCAGCGTGCAGCGGCCATCTTGCTTGTGGTCTAGTCCAGAGCCTGTGCCTCCAAGGCCAGGCTAGAGACCCTCCCCATGAGCAGCAGCCTTGGAGGAACAGGGAGGGTTCTCCTTCATCCGAGGGGGACAGTGTGGAGGCGAGGGAGGAACAGAAGCACGTGCTTCACCCCAAGCCCGAGCTCCACCGATGCATACAGTGGGCATCTCACCCTCAGGTCCTACCAGCGGCAAGCGAGCAGCCTGCGCCGGTGGCTGGAGCTGAGCCGGGAGGAGCCCAGGCCTGAGGACCAGGAGGCTGAGCAGCAGGTGCAGGAAGAGCTGCAGGAGGTGAGGTCCCGGGCCATCCTGGGATGGGTTCTAGCCGTGCCTCCTCTCAGCACGTCCCTCCCTGCCCGCAGGTGGAGCTGCAGGCCCAGCAGCTGGCCGCGGAGCTCCAGGCCCGGCGCCAGCCAGTCCGCGCCTGCATTGCCCGTGTGCAGGCCCTCCGGCGGGCACTGTGCTAGAGCCCCTGCCCAGGGAGGCCTCAGCCCGCCTCCAGGAACAGAATGTGAAGTTAAAATGAGTTGTTTTAATTATTTCAAAATGTTGCAATTACATGAATCACTGTTCAGAAGTCTCCCACTTTTCATACAAAAATACTGTGCTACTGATACAGTTGAAAAGTTCAAATGGCTTCTCCTGCAGGAGAAATGCAGAGTCCCCAGGAGACGGGAACCCTGGGCCATCTCGGTGGCTCCCCAAGGACACATGCCCTGCCTCCCACCCAGTGCACCAGGGCTCCTCTGCCTCCCACATACGCCCCCGAACCAACAGCAGCAACTTCCCCTCTTTATGGAGGGCTGGATCTTGGGGAGAGACTCAGTTCTCCCCCGGCCCGTGTGGCCATGACTACCTGCCTGCCCCATTCACGCGGGACACGAGTCGGGGTTCAGTAACCGGCCTCGACAGCTCCGGGTCACCTGGGTCTGCAAAGCTCCTTGTCTCGTCAAACCTGGCTGAGTTGCCCCCGGTGGGCAGGTGGGCCGCGTTTGGAAACAAAGCAGTTACGTTACAGGCTGGTGGTCCTGCACGGGGCAGGTGGGCTCAGTCAGTGCCAGGAGGCACCTCAGTTGGGAGGGGAGGCCAAAAGTAGTGATGGGAGGAGCAGCAAAAAGGTGCAGTACCACTTACCATCTTAACAAACCGAGACCAGCAGGACGCTCAGCCAGGAGGCAGGCTCTGGTTTATGCAAATGGGGTTAAACTTCTCGGAAAGGGAATCTGACCAGCCCCACACTTACTTTCTCTTCAGGGTGAGCAGAGGGGATGACGGAGGTCTTGGGCATGACCGGCTCTGGCCTCGCCCACGCCTCTGGGACAGCAGGAGCAGAGGTCACCCAGGTCCTGCCTGGTCAGACCCCTGGTCCTGAGAGTCCCCTCCAGACAGCTGAGGAGATTCCCCTCAAAAACTCCCATTTCCGTTTAGATCCCTCGGCAGCGGCAGCTGGGAGAGGCCCTAGAGGGAGCCCAGGGCCTCCCCAAACCGGATTTTCTGTCCCGCTTTCAGCTTGAAGTCGAAGTCCTTGGGGGCCTCGAAGATGAGCACGATGGTGGAGCCCAGGTTGAACTCGCCCAGGTGCTCGCCCTTGCGCATGGGGATGCCCTCCCTGTTGGCCTGGGTCACGAAGCTGAAGTCGTTGTAGGAGCCCTTGCTGTACCGCGGGCTGTTGGTGTGCAGGTCCTGGGGGGGCAGAGGCAGGGCATGTGGAGACAGCTCCCTGCACCTTCAGCACAGCCTGCGGTCGCCCCCACCCCCCTGCTTGCAAAGGGAGGCGGGCCCAGCAGCTCGGCCCAGGGGCCGGGGTCTGACCAGCCAGTGCCCGACGCCGCTCCGAACTAGGCAGGCCACTGAGGGGTCGGACCCGACTGCTCTCCACCACGAATGAAGGTGCCAGACTGGCACCCGAGGGGGCAGAGCAGTCACTAACCGGCGCCAAGAAGGCTCTCCCTCGGGTGCTGACAGATCCGGCTGCCTGGGGTCTGCTTACCCGGTCAAAGTAGATGCGGATGGAGCCCACGTTGGTGGCCCCCACGGCTGTCAGCGAGAAGAAGCCGTGTTTCCAGTCCCCGGTCAGGACCACCCGCTCGTTGTGGCAGAAGAGCTCTTTGATCCAGCGGGCCATGCCAGGGTTCACGGACATCAGGGAGCCTGCGACAGCGGGGACACTGCTACTCACCGGCCGGAGGCCCAGCCCCCAGGGCGTGTGGGCTCCCCGAGGAGCTGGGCCGTGCGGCCTGGCCTACCTGGGAAGTGGCGCCGGTGGGACACGGTCCAGTCGGTGGGCGAGTGGAAGCAGTGGTAGTCCCCGGGGGCCAGGTAGATGACGCAGTGGTAGAGCTCGTTCCCTTCTCGGGTGACCAGCTGGCTCCGGAAGGAGTGGGAGGCGGCTGTCGGGGGACACGGGACCAGGCTATCAGACGGGCACCCAATGCCCCCAGCGTGGGGCCTGTGTGTCATCGGGACACAGGCTCCAAGGAAGCCCAGGGGCCATCAATTCCTACAGCCTTTACCCTCTGACCTCTGGCCAGCCACGCTGCAACAGGGCAGCCCGCCGGGACCCACCTGGTGGGAAGGGCAGGTCCTCCACGGAGGTGCGCGGGCCCAGGAACGACTCCAGCGAGTAGGTGACGCCCTTCACCTGCTCCACCTCCGAGTTCTTCACCTGCCCGAAGTTGATGATCTTCCCATCTGACGGGCTGATCTGGAAGGGCAGGAAGGAGGGTCTTAATGCCAGGGACGGGAGGGAGGAGGGGACACAGGGCAAGAGCGCCCCCCGGGGAGGCTGCTGGGGCTGGAGGGCGGAGGGAGGGCAGGACCAGGCCTCACCACGCTGTGCAGGCCGCACACGGGCCGGGCCTGCGGCTTCAGCTTGCGCCGGAAGAACTCGCTGAGGTTGCGGTAGTGGTGCAGGTCCTCCACGGCCGCCTCCTTCATGTTCACCCCGAAGGTCCAGATGTACAGGCTGTAGACGGGCCTGCGCAGCCAGTGCGGCAGCTCCACCTGGTTAAGGCGACCCCAGGCCCGCGACAGCAAGCGCGTGGGCACCGACTTGTACAACGCCACCTGCGGGCCACAGGTGGGTGGGTGGGTGGGTGGCCCCCCTGAGCCCACTGCCCCCCTCCAAGGGGCCCACACAGGCTCCAGCCTTCCTGGGGCCCTCTGGGGCCCACACAGGCTCCAGCCTTCCTGGACCGCCCTCTGGCATCCAGCAATTAACTTAGATTCTGCCCCCCTCCAGGGGCCTTGGGAACCCCACATTGGCTTGGTGATGTGGTTTCTCACTAGGAACCAGACTGAGCTTGCAAAGTGGTCTCCTGGCCCAGACCGACACCGGGACTTACAACTCAGGTGTTCGTCATTTCCCGCAAACCTCACAGCAGCCATCCTAGTCCCCGGGAGAGCCTGGCCAGACGTCTTGTTTCTTGAAGGGGGAGGGGGCTACATGGATCTGACACCGTCACAGACAGGCTGTGGCAGGAGGCCCTGCAGCCCAGTGATTGCCCGGTCCTAACGACACGCACCCCTCCAAGGTCAGGGACTCGGACAGGCAGATACAATGTCACTCGCCAAGTCCTGGACACGCCCTGCTGGTCGCCCCTGGGGCTCCTCCCAGGTGGGACAAGGGGACCAGCCTCTCAGGGCCAGGTGACCTTCTAGGTGCTGCTGACATCAGGGATTGCTAATTGGTGGCTGTTATAGAGCAGAACCAAGCCCCCAAGGTAAAAGCAATTTCATTCCAACCTAACCGCCTCCAGGTGCCGAATGCCTGGCTCCCAGAACTCCTCCCAGCTGCCATGTGCCCTCAGGTCTAATGTCCAGAGCTCCTAGCTTTCAAGCCTCGTGATACCTCACAGGGGCCGTCTGTCCAAGGGCCAGGAGCAGGGTCTCCTCGGGACCCGCCTGCCCTTTAGGGAACTGGCCAGGCTCCCATGTCCTCTGAGGCACGCCCTCCCCACACAGGCATCCAGCAATTAACTTAGATTCTTCTCAAAACTACCTCTATGCTCACTCCTGGAACAAGGAAATCAGACCCACACCATTTTCTGAATGCCCATCATGGTTCCTTTTAGAAGCACAGTCCCAAATGGCGCAAATGCAGGCAGAGCCGGCCCTCAGTCACCTGTCAGCAGGACTACCTTTCAGCACCCGCCTGGCAGGCTCAACCCCACAGCCAGACCCTTCAGTGACAACCGTCTCCTAGGCCCGCCAGCAGCCTGCACACACTTACCCTGCTCACGGGCCTCCATCCCACCCGGCTGAGCGGTCTGAGGGCACCGAAGGGCAGGAGGTAGTAGAGGACCGTCAGGGGCCAGGAGCGCAGTTTCAGCGCGGGTCTGGACATGCAGCTCAGCTGTCCCAGCCTCCGTCGCAGGGCCAGCTGGGGGAAGTGCAACCTGCAGGCAATGGCCACGCGACGGGTCAGCAGCCGGGGTCGGGGAGGGACTAGGAGCCCCACCCACCCTCAGCAAGCTCGCCTCAAGGAAGGCCGGCAGCACCTGCCGTGCCCTGCATCCCAACGCCATTCTGAGCAGCCGCCTCTGGTTGGCAGCTCAAGCCCAACCCTTCACACCTGCCGGGGGTTGGGAGGACAGGTGTCTGTTGGCACCCTCTCTGAGGAAGCGCCTTCTGAACACGTGACAGGCCCTGGGAGGCCCTTGAGGGCTAAGCACCACCCAGCCCCCGCCCTCCGGGGCCACCAGCAGGCAGTCAGTTCGTGGGGGGAGCTACTGCAACCGCCCAGCGAGGACTCAGAACAATGATGGCTCCAGGCCTCTTACTTCCTCTGAGAGGTAAGGAGTTGGGACTGACAAGATCACAGAGGAAAACACCCCCAGCTCCACCCATCGGCTTCTCCAAAACCCATCCTCCAAACCCATCCGCAAACTGCCGGGGGATCTGCCACACTCCTGGCCGAGCCGCTCCAGCGCAGCCCAGCCCAGCGCAGCTCAGGTGCAGCCTCTCCCCAGAACCCGGGCCCCCTGAGGCTCATCAGGGAGGCCCGTGCCCCCTCGGTGCCGAAGCCCCAGGCAGGAGGCCACGCTGCCCCCCTCCCCAGGCCTCAGTCTCCTCATCTGCAAACAGACTGCCTTCAACTGGATAATCTAAGTCCCCCATCTGTGCCCGGCACCCCCAGAGGAGCTGTGTCCTCTGCCCCCCTTGTTGACCAAACCAAGGAACAAAGAAAGGCAGCTCAGTGATACTGAAAGCAGCAAACGGAGAACACAGCTGAGAGCCGAGGGCCAGGCTCCGGTGAGCGATGGCACTGCCGCAGCCATGGCCCCGTGGACTCCCCCTCCCTCCAAGGGTCTGGCTGGTGGGGGGGGCCAAGCAATGCCAGAAAAATCCCCGCTCCGTCCCCCGCCCGCCCGCCCGCTCACTGCAGCAGCGCGGCACCAATCCCGGAAGAGCTGCACCAACGGGGTGGGGGCCGGGGGGCAGCAGTGTAGGAGCAGCGCTCCGCCTTCCCAGTACCTGAAGCGGGCTCTCCGACTGAGGCCCCCAAGGCCGGGCCCCTCCAACCGCGGGGGAGTCCCGGGGTCCCTGCCGCCACCTCCACTTCGGGGCCGCTGGACATGAACTCGGACCTTGTGGAGGTCGTGGCGGGGAACAGCAGGGTTAGGAGGCCGCGGGCAGCATCTCACCATTTCGCCGAGCTGAGCTCCGGTCCTCGCCTCGCCTCTGACTGACACATGGTGGGCGGGCAGGGAGGCGGCGCCTGCCCGGTCGCCTTTGTTCCTCCTCCTTCCGCCCTTCCCCCCAGGAGCTGGGGCTGTCGCGGCTCGAAGGTGGCTGGTGGGCCGCTTCCTCGGCCCTCGGCTCAGAGACCACTGGGCGGAGCAGGGACTATTGCAAAGACAGGCTCCGGTCACACCCCTGCTGGGCCTGCAGCACCGGCCCTGGGCTCGGCCACCAGCCCGGGACCACTCCCCCTGGGCTCCGGAGCAGGAGCGGGAATCAGGGAATCTGAGCCCCGCGCTCCAGGCAGGCGCCCAGCGTTGCCCAGGCTGCGCCTGGGAGGCCCCTCCCATGCCAGGAACTGACCCATTTTCCATTCAGGTGACAAAGGAGCATCTGAGGAATGAGGGAGGGGGCAGAGGTGGGCCTGGTGAGACCCCGGGCATCTGACCAGCCCTGGCTCTGCCTCCGGGGACCCCCATAGTGGGAGCACCCAGGTGACATCAAGGAAGACGGGCATGGAGCTGGGACCGGGCCAGGACTGAGCTCATCCCTGCCCACCTCTGCCCTCCCCATGGGTATGGGAACAAGGACAGCACTCTGGCCGGCCGCTAGGCGAGGGGAGGACAGGGCCTCCTCCAAGCCCGTCCGCAGCCTCAGAGAGCAGGAAGAGAGCAAACGTTCCAGGTGGCTGCTGCTCAGCCCTGAAGTCAAGGCCCCGGGAGGACGCCCAGCTGCAGGCCAGCGGGGGGCAGGGGCCGGGCCGGGGGCGGGCCAGGACCGGGAAGTGCAGCTCCAGAGCAGCTCTGAAGGCAGAGGACCCGCCCACCCAGGACCCCACATGGCCAACACTGACCCAAACGGAGGCCCAAACTCAACATGCTCTATCATACAAGTGGGACCATGACACCCAGCAAACCCACCTCAGCCAGAGGACAAGGCCAGCTCGGCACCTGCCAGGTGTGCAGGGCCCCGGAGCCAGGACCAGGCTGCCTGCCGTCTGGACATGAGCGTGGAGTCTGCCCTGACCAAGGGGACAGCCAAGCCCGGCCCACCCAGACCCCTCCCCAGGCCACCAGCCTTGACGAGTGATGCAGGGTCAGTTCCCTGTGGGGGCCAGGCCTCACCCCCATGGACACCCCTGCTTCAGGCTGTGATCTCCAGCTAGATGGTCAGGTCACCTCAACCACACCACCCAAAGCTGAGTGTACCCCACCCTCCCGTCTGCCAGGCCTTGGCCATAGTGCTCCCCAAGCACAGCCCAGAGGCTGATGGCGGTCGCACTGTCTGATGCTGGGCTTCCAGGACGGGCTCTCTCCTGCCTCCAGAGACTAGGACGCTCAGATCCTCGGGGGCCAGCGGGGCCTGTGGGAGGGGAGGGGGCCCAGCCGCCCCTGCAGTGCTGCTCATGGCCGTGGTGGCCACGCAGCGTGCGGTCATGTCAGAGGGCAGTCAGCCCACAACAGTCGCTTCTCTCCGCCTCCGAGCAGAGGCTCCTGCTGGGATTTAATGGTCCCCAGCCCCCCCTCCCACAGGGGAGGGGCTCAGAGGAGCCTCATCCCAGACCCACACTCGGGGGGACAGAGGTGTCCTCCACTGAGAGCGGAAGGGACAGGCTGAGGCCGCCTGTGAGGAGGAAGAGGGGGCCCACGGGCCCACCTGCCCGCCTCTGCCCTCCCGGCCGTGCTCGGAGCAGGGAGGGCACTGGCCGGGCCGCGGGCTAGGGGGTGGACATCTCTGCCCGGACATGCTGTCCTGGGGTTCACACTGAGCAGTATGTAGTGTCCCCGTCCACCTCACCAACCTCCAGTGGGATGGACACCACCTCACGCAGGACGGACTGGCCCAGGCCGGCGACCAGCTCCGTGGGTGGGTGTGGGCGTGGGGCGCCGGCTCCCAGGACCCGGCAGACTCAGTCTGAGTCTCAGCGAGGCTGGGAGCTGCGAGGGCTCAGGACTGTCACCCTCAGAGGCTCTCCCTGCGAACCAGACACCGGGCCCGACAGCCGGAGACCCCGAATCCGGTCCTGCACCTCGAGTGGGAATCTCCCTGGGGCCTCTCGAAGCCTCAGCAGAACCCAGGCCCCCTAACCGTGTGCATGGGCCTGACTCTGTGCCCCCCCTGGAGGGCAGAGCCGCTCCCCCAGCTCCCTGGGCGAGGCAGGCAGCTGTTCCCGGCTAGAAACGGGCAGAGCTTCACGAGGAAGTAGCGGCAGGAGTCTCCCCAGGATGTGGGATGTGGGTGGCCATCTGGGAGGGGCTTGGGCGAGAAAAGCGGAAGCAGAGATGGCCCAGGGCTCCCAAAGGAAGGCCCTCCTCGCGGGCAGTCAGGGGAGGGGGGGGCAAGTACTGACACCGCCAGGTCCCGCTGAGAACAAGAACAGCGCAGCCCCCCACGCCAGCCCCTGGGGGCACGGGGAAGCCAGCTGGGCTCTCGGCCCTAAGGCTCCGGGAAGCCAGGGTGCGGAGGAAGTGAGCTCACCCAGCCGGCCCAGGGCTGCCATGCGGCCGGGAAGCCCACCCCCGGTGGGACTGTGGGGTGGGCTCCTTGGGCCCCCAGGCCTCAGGCTCCAAGCCCTAAAGGAGCCCAGAACCCGGGGGCTGGTGGCCTCCCAGCCTGGGGGAGGGGCGGGGGGAGCCCAGCTCACTCACCGGCAGGTGGTCCTGTCCGCTGCTTCCGGGCTGCGCCCCACTGGGGAGACGCTGCTCCGCCACCAGAGCCTGGACTGGTGAGCGGGCTCAGCCTCCAGCCACTCAGGCGGGGACAGAAGGGCGGACACCAGACACCGGAGCTGTGCTCCGCCCCCGCCCGGCCCCGCCTGCTAGGGGCCCTTTAAGGGGAAGAGGAGCCCTCAGGGCACTTCCCCAGTGACGGAGGCAGGGCTGGCAGCTGCCCCCTCTGGGCCTTCAGGCGCCTGTGACTTCTCGGACCAAGTAGACTTGTCTAGCCTCCACGTGAGAAAGTGAAACAGGTATCCGAGTCCTTGCTCCTCCCACACCCATCCTGAAGACAGGCAGCCCCACCGGCTCCCTCTCCTCCAGTTCACGGTGGGCGGCCGCGGGCCTGGACCGGGACAAGCCCTGCGGGCCAGGTGTGCCCGGCGGGGCTCAGATGGAGAACACGTGGGGGTCTTATTTTATTTTCCGATAACAGTTAACAGGCACCACAGTGTAGATTTGTTTCAGGTGTACACAGCGTTAGCCCTGCTCTCTACCCCACTAGACCCCTCGCCCGAGGGCCAGCGCAGCCACATCCGCAGGCCACCCGGTCAACATGGATGGGATGACGCCCTGGACATATCCGACCGGGGAGGGGCTGCCAGGAAGACCCGTGGACACAGAGAGGCAGGCCTCAGGAGCCTGGCTGCTGTGTGCTGGCCATGTGGGCAGCACGCCACCTTCTGGCCCCGGCTCCTGAACAAACCGAGCCCAGCTGTGGTTCCAGGACAGGAGGCGCCAGACAGTCCACACCTGTCCTCAGGGGACCCAACACCTTCTCCACGGCAACCTGGAGACCGGGCTGCCCGGTGGAGAGCAGGGAGGCTCCTGTCTCGGGGTGTCCTGGGCACCCCGCACCAGCAGGAGCAGAGGCTCCAGCATTCTGTGAGCATTCTGCTGAGGGGGCAGGCCCCTTCTCACCTCAACACTCCAAGCAAACGCCACGTGCGAGGAGACAAGGAGCTAAGGCAGAGAGGCCGGCACAGAGTCCTCCAGCACCCCGGCGGCCCACCAGACCAGCACAAGCCAGTGGGGGACAGGCCGGGCCCTCACTGCTGAGTGGAGGCACCAGCACGCTCCCTGGTGAAATGACCAATCAGGTGGCTCCACACCAGCTCCCAGAGTTCATTATGACACTCAGGGGATGGTGTTCAGAAAGTCATAAAAACCCCTGATCCCGGCCTGAGCGGACCTCCTCCACCCATGTTTCTGCAGGGAAACGCCTCTGACGCCAGACAATGGCGGACACATCATTTCTGGGAAAACAAAAGCCCTTGTGAGTTTACTTCCCACTCTGAACGGGCCCCTTCCGGCCAACTGGGTCCTTCACTTCCTCTGAACTCCCGCGAGTGGGAGTGCCACCTCTCACCACTGGGGGGCTCTGCAGGCCGCAGACCTCTTGGCCACCAACACGTGAGGACCAACCCCCCTCCGGGTTACCCCCTGCAGCTCCCCGCGGAGCCCTGCCAGCCCGCAGGCTCCTCTGGCTCACAGGAGCCCCTCCGTGGCTCCGAGGAAGGTGACCCGCAGCTGGACGGAGAGAACAAGGTGCACGTGCAGGAATAAACTCAAACCGGAAGAAAGACTTAAGGTCAGACCTGAACCTAGTCCAGCGAGCCAGGACAAGTGGGCTCGGAAGCAGACGGACAAGCTGCCAGGGCGTGGACAGCAGACACAGGCCAGAGGAGCCAGCACTCCGCGGGCCAGGCTGCAGGCCGGGGCTGGTGGCACCTCCGTGGCTTGCAGGAGGGCCGTGTGACTGCTTCTTCCTCAAGGGCCCCCCATGTCCATCGGGCCAGTGTCCCCACCACACGCCCCTCTGTCCTCAGGTCAAGGAAGGACTCAACGGCAGAGACGAAGGGGATCTTGTCACCAGATGTCACCCAGCGAGGCACTCCATCGCCTGATGTTCCCAGGAAACCCCGGAGTCACCACCCTGGCCTCCCCTAGGAGCTTCAGGGGCACAGGCCACACCCCTCGCCCCTCGTTAGGAGGCTCTGCCCCGCCTGCTGACTTACGGCACAAGAGGACGGCGCATCTAAATCTCAACGCCACACGGCCGCAGAAGCCGCACCCCAGAACCTTACGCTCTCCGGGCAGATCTGTCCGAATCAAGCTGCCCGTGGGGCACCAGCTGGTGTGACACTGTTTGCTGGTGTGGGACACGCAAACTGGAACTGGTCCCAGAATCCCTAAAAAATAACAATTTACAAAACCCTCCACGTGCCCGTGCGGAGGTGCGTCCTGCCAGCCTGTGACGGAAGGAGGTGCTGGGCTCGGAGGCGGAGAGAGGAGGAGCCGCAGAGAGGACGTCCGTAACCCACGGGGCTGCCAGAGGCCCTGCCCCTCAGAGCCCTGCACACGCCGGTGCTTAGTTACCAGGACCGGAGCCGTGAGCCCGTTCCAGTGCTCACCAGGGTCAGGAGAGCCTGCTCTGCAGCCGGCCGGGGAGAGTGCTCCAGAACACAGGGCATGGAGTAGGCATCCCCGAGGCTCCCCTCGGTGACTAAGGCTCAGTACTAGGCATCCCCGAGGGCCCCCCCTCGGTGACTAAGGCTCAGTACTAGGCATCCCCGAGGCCCCCCCTCAGTGACTAAGGCTTAGTACCACGACATGGCTAACTGATCCAGAGTAAAGGCCAAGCAGTTTACAACCATCCAGTGAATCGAAGAGCCCTATCGTCTGTAACCAAGGACACAAAGAGTAAACAGTGAGCCCGGCTGGCGTGGCTCAGTGGTTGAGCGTTGACCCATGAACCAGGAGGTCACCGGTTAACCCCTGAGCTAACCAACCCCGCCCTCATTACAGTCACCTTTCAGGTCCTGCCTGTCTGTGGTGGGTGCTGAGAAAACAGCTGACACTGGTCATGAGGTTGGAACGAGCCAATTTCTCCCAAAGGGAACCCTCTCTTGAAATCAGTGGGGTTTCCTGGGATGAGTCAGCTGACAGGTGCGGGGCCAGAGGCAGCCGGGCTGTAACGCGTGAGGGCGGTCACGAGGTCGGTCTCAGCACGCTGTAATGCTCTCAAGGAAAGAGCGCTCACAGCGGAGACCAGAGACCAGAGTGCATGGGAGACGGCCCAGCGGACTGAGCGCGCTCACACCCGGGGCCGCTGCCCTTCGCCGAGGACAGAGCGCCTTTGGTCCTTGGTCTGGTGGGTTACACAAAGGCCACGGCCCATGACGGGTGAGGACAGGTGAGGACAGACACCTGCCAGGGTGCAGCTACATGGGCTCTGCAGGGCAGGGCAGTTTCAGGACCGCGGGGAGCCCAGGGAAACCGTCCCGCTGAGTTCTCGTGGAGAAGAGGGTTGTGGGAGGAGGCCTGTGAGCTATGTAGCAGGTAACGCCCACAATTCCTAGATAAGCTGTCAGAGCTGGAGTCCTGTTCTAACCAACCGCTGTGCTGCTGTTTTAAAGTCCTCAAGGACATGCTGGGGGAGGGGGAGGGGAAGGAGAGAAGCATCGACGTGAGAAACATCATCGGCTGCCTTCGTCCTGCCCTGACTGGGGGCTGAACCTGCCACCTCTGGGTGCCCAGGATGACGCTCAACCGAGCCTGCCAGCCGGTAACCGTGTTTCCAGTTGAGGACACCAAGGCCCAGGCGGAAAGTGACGGCCTGTTGACACTGAGGAGCACCTGGGACTCGCAGACACGGCCTGGACGCAGCCGCGCTGGACACCAACGTGGACGCAGTGGCTCAGAGGACACCGTGCACCATTCCCAACACCGGCACGTCTTCCCTTCCCCGCTCCGCCCAGGCTGCCCAGGCCGATCGGCATTGTGTATTTTTCATTTGTTTTCCGTTTCTAAACGGACACGTTTATATTTGATCTCAGCGTTTACCGAGTGTCCGCTCTGAGTCAGGGACGTCCCGGGCCACGGGAGCTCGTTACGCATCACACTCGGGCCCCCCCACGTGACCCAATAGCGAGGGGAGCATCTGAGCAACAAGGACCAAGGATCTGATCATTTCAGTCTGGTTTCTGGTGAGAACTTAACCACATCCCCAAAATCTAACCGTTTAGCTCATCCTCAGCCTGAGAAGGCGTGACGGCCAGGATGCCGGCCCAATGGAAGGCAGGAGCTCTGGGCCTTCCCCAGCAGGACATTCCCCCCAGAGCCCGGGGGACCCAGGCAGGTCTGGACAGAAGAGAGAACTCCCGTATGTGGCCACAGCCCATGGAGACATGAGCTCCAGGGAAGCGCGTTCACTTCTTCAGACGTTTGGACTGCGGAGCGTGAACAGTGATGGGCACTGTGCTGGACGGGAAACCAGGCGGTTCCACCTCATTCCTACCTCCCAGGGACCTGCGAGTTTGGGCGGAATCTCCAATCCCAGCTTCTCCAGCTCTTGCTCCCTATACTTCTCATACTGCCGGTAACCCGCGTACCCGCCGCCGCCAGTCAAAACCAGAATGGGCAGGGGGCGCAACCGGAACAAGGCTCGTGCAGGAGCAGTGTGCACTTGTCTGGCATCTGTAAGAACAAAAACCAACAACAGCGACAACGTTGAGCCTGGGAAAGAGGCAGGAGTCATGCCAACAGGGCTGGGAGAAGGCAGTGCATCTCAGCGGCCTCAGTGAGGGGAGTGGACGCTGAGGGGATCTGGCAGGCAGGGCTGCCTGAGCCACTACTTGGCCCCTCTGTCTCCAGATTCTATCCATTAGCAAGAGACAAGCAACTTTCTTGGGAAACAACAATGCACCCAGTGGCTGCCACAGTCACAGGATGGAAGCAAACACAAACAAAGAGGCCAAGACACTAACCCAGGCTGCCAGCCGGTCTCCACAGGTCCGGGCCTGAGAGCCAGGCACCTTGCTCACCAGGCCTCTCTGTCCTTACTTCAACGATGCACCCAATTCTCACTGGACACTTCTTACTGGACACTACTGTCCTCAAATGCAAAACCTCCTACGCTCTTACAGTTCAACAATAATTAAAAAAACAATTAAATGTACAAAGGGTTTGAAGAGACAGATCTTCGAAGAAGATACACGAATGGCCAATAAGCACATAAAAAGCTGCTCAGCATCTGTTATGGGTTCAACTTTGTGCCCCTCCCCCAGTTCATATACTGACCCCCTGACCCCCAGTAGCTAAGAAGAGGACCTTACTTGGACAGAGGGTCTCCACAGGAACTCAAGTTTAAATCACACCATCATGATGAGGCCTAACCCCCTGACTGGATCCTTATAAACGGGGGAAAGTGGACAAGGACACACACACACACGGAGAAGGCCACGTGAGGGTGAAGGAAGGGATGGGGATGAGGCTTCTGTGAGCTAAGGGAGCCAGACTGCCTGCAAACCACCAGACAAGTTGCATGGACAGCCGTCAGAAGGAAGCAGCCCCTTATCCCACACCTCGAAAAAACGAATTCTACTGTTTAAGCCACTGGGTGTGTGACTATCACAGCAGCCTCACAAATCGAACATCACTAGTAATTAGGGAAATGCAACTCCTACCACCGGAGCTGCCGCCCCCAGCCTCTGGGATGGTTACAATAAAATATTAAGCGTTGGCAAGGACATGGAGAAAGTGAACACTCACATGCCTGGGGGGGGGGGGGGGGATTGCAAAACAAGGCAGCCACTTTGAAAACCAGCTTGTCATTTTTCTCAAAATGGTAAACATAAAATTACCATATAGCCCAGTGATTCTGCTCTTAGGTATGTACCTAAAAAAAGTCAAACATACATCTCACAAAAACTTATACAAGAATGTTCAACAGAAGCTTTATTCATAACAGGCTGAAAAACACCACTCCAAATGTCCACCAACTGAGACTGGATAAACAAGATGTGGTGATCCATTCAGTGGGACCCTATTTGATAATGAAAAGGCATGAAGTGTTGACAAACACTACATGAACCTGAAAACATTCCGTAAAAGGAGCCAGCCTCAGAAAGCTGTGTATTGTGTGATTCCATTTATGTAAACTAGAGGCCTGGTGCACAAAATCTGTGCAAGGGGCTTGGCCCCGGCTTCATCCGGAAAGTCGTTCGGCTGTCCGGTCTAATTAGCATATTAGGTTTTTATTATTATAGAAACCCAGTATAGGAACCATACCATAAGTGATTAGTGATTGCTTGGGGGAGAGGGGCAGGGGTGGGAGAAACAAGGAGGGACAGTTTAATGGGTGTTTTCCATGGGAGGGCAAGGAGGAAGGGAAAATGCTTTAGAATTAGTGGTGACAGCTGCACAACTCTGTAAATACACTAACACACACAGAGATGCACACCTAAAAGGGAGAATCCTATGGTGTGCGCATTACTGATCAATACAACAGTTATTCAAACCAAATCTCTGGAGCTGACTTCCCAGTCGCCTGGCAGAACCAGAGCACACCCTCGCTGTCCCTCCTGCAGTGCTGGCTGCTGCTGTTCCTTCTTCAGGGAGCTGGTGAGGGGTCACTAATCTCCTCCACCCTCTGATGATTCCCGCTGGGCCCTTAAACACTCTACCTCTGACGACCAAGAAGCATTTGTCAGAAAGCAAGAACACCTTTCTCTCTTTCTGGAATATCAGGTGATGAGAAAACGTGTATCCTCCCTGCACCAGCCCACATCCTGGCCTGACGTTCCCCTTACTGAGCACTGGCGGGTATTTCTCCGATTCTCTCTCTGGCCTCTCAAAGGCTTGCTTCACTCTTCCAAAAGGAAGCAGTGAGTAGTGAGCGCCCGCCGCTCCTGACCACTGCTCCACTTCCTCAAAGCACAGCTGAATGCGGAGTTCCCCACCTCCCTCCTCCCCGGGGCTCCTGCGTGTTCCCGCACCAGCCCAATCCAATGGCAGCCAGGTGCGCCTCTGTAACCACCACAGCCTTTCGCTTCTCTTCTCGCTCACCTGCTCCTTCTGCTCCCAGGCTCGCTTACTGGGCAGTTACAAACAGCTCTTGGTGTGATGGATAAAAAGGGTATTTAGATAACACGGACAATACACAAAAAGGGTTCACAGAGCTGCTTCAAGAAGAAAAAAGTTCCAGCCCACAGTGTGGGAGGGCTAATGTGCCCGGGCACGTCCTGCTGTGAGAGAGAAACTGCTTTACCCTCTCCGATGAGCAGCTGGGCAGAAATCCCAAACTGTAAAAGACATAACCTGACTCAGCAGTCCTACCTTCACCAACAGATCCCGAAGATGCCGAGCTTACTACAGCACCACCTACAGCAGGAAAGACCGGGAACGAACGCCCAGCACTGAATGGCACAGCCACACAACAGGCTGCAGGCAGCCGGTAAAAACAAGGATCACAACAGCTGCTGCTTCCTTGAGACCATGTGCCAGGCGTGTGAGCACCTCCTGGGCACGTGCTTTACCTCCAACCACACCCTGAGGGACAGGGGCCACGAGGTCCCAATCACTGATGATCAGCCCGAAGCCAGAGAGGCCGCCACCATCCCCGACAGCTACTTACTTTTCGAGAAGGCTCTGAGGGGCGGCTTCCAGAAGGGCTGTGGGAAGTGGCTCAGGGCAGTGTTTCCACGGTGATGGAGGCTACAATCAAGCAAAAATGAATCATTAGACATTGTTTTTTAAAGTTAAAATAATGAGATCAACTGGCAAATTTTGGATACAGTGTATAGATTCAACAACATTACGGCATCCATGTTAATTTCCTGGTTTTGACCATTGTACTGTGGTTATGGACCAAAATGTCCTTAGCCTTCGCTGGTGTGGCTCGGTGGGTAGAACGTCCACCTGTGGACTGAAGGGTCCTGGGTTTGATTCAGGTCAAGGGCACATCACTCGGTTGCAGGCTCCTCCCCGGCCTGGACCCTGGCACAGTCCCTCTATGTGGCTCCCTTTCTTACTCATCCAGTTCTCTGCTCTGATGTTTCCCCTCCATCTGGTCTGTCCTGACCACCCTGTGCCCAAGAGTTGCCCCTCTCAAGCACTCTCTAATCCCTCAGTTACCGTCCTTTATTTACTTATTTATCTTTATTGTTGAACTTTATTTTTCTTCCTAGCGCTTCTCACGAACTGAAAGCAGCAGAGTCTATGCATTTATTCACTTGTCAGCTGTCTGTGACCTGGATGGATGCAGGGTTGTCTGTTTTCCAAGGGACTGCCATCTGGGCAATGAGGTGAAGCCCGAGGAGGAGCGGGCAAGGTCAGCCAGCAGTCCCTCCCTCCGTTCGGGAAGCAGGTGGCCGAGGCCCCCACTGTGATTAAGCACGCAAGTCTGATCCTGGGGCTCAGATCTCAGGTCGGCCACGCATTAGCTGTGTGACTTTTAGAAAATTTCTTACTAATTCCAAGCCTCAGTTTCTCTGCCTGTAAAAACAGGACCTACCCCTCCCTCAGAGTGAGACAATCGTGTAAACCCCTCGGCCCCAGGCCTGGCACCTAGTTACACACTACTACATATCAAAGTTACATATATCGCTATAGATATAGTAAAAGAATTTACATTAATCTGGCCCACACTGGGATGGCCATGTCAACTGTCTATGACGAGTGTCCATGCTGACTAGTCTGTGCCCATATTGTCAGTTATAAAATATTTAAAACATTAGTGTTAACATTGATTTTTAGAGAGAGAGAAAAACCCTGATTTGTTGTTCTGCTTATTTATGCATGCACTGGTTGCTTCTTGTCCGTGCCCGGAACTTGAAACTCTGGTACATTAGGGCACCCTAACCCAGTGGTCGGCAAACTGAGGCTTGGGAGCCACGGTTTGCCGCTCTGTTGACTAATGAGTTTGCTGGCTAGGGGCTTAATCACAAGGAACAACAACATCTTGTAATTATTGGAATGGAGAGTCTAGGTCAGTGGTAGGCAAACTCATTAGTCAACAGAGCCGAAGTTTGCCTATCACTCCCCTTAACCAACTGAGCTACCCGGACAAGGCCTAAAAGTATTAACATCACATCTGGTGGTTACATTGTTAACTAAGGCTGTTAAATCTCTCCTGTGTTCTAAAGCTGTGAGAGTTCCAAAAAAACGAACTGGCAGGCTTCTTGACAGCCTTATTTCATAGTCTATCTTACATTATTTCTGGGTGTTTTCTCTCCTACTCAACTGGAAAGGCCTACACTTCCCATAGTCCGCGGGCCAGGGCTGGCAGTGGTGGAATGCCATGTATACCGGTGATGGCAAGTCTTACACAACCAGCCACTCCCTATGCACCAGTCCTTACTTGCCCGAACCTGAGAATTATTGGGGGCACTTAGAGCCCCCGCCTACACCTGCTGAGTCTGATTTGGCAGCAGGACAGGGACTTATCTGGGACTCTTATTTCTAAAACGTATCTACCCCATTCTTTTATCAAACATGGCCTCAAGTTTTCACCCTAGATGTTGCTTTCTCTTTGTTCTATTGCCTGTCGCACATCACCCACCCGGTTACCGAGAAACTTCCCTGCCATATAGGGCTTTCATTGTGTGTCTCACAGAGGCTGCTTTACTGAAAACTCAAGAAAATGTTACCTTTAATTAAGTTTTTTGTATCAATATAGTTGCCTTCTGTCTCGAGATGTAAAACCTTTGAATACTGAGACATCTCATTGTACCCAAGTCCTTATCCCTTCCCAATCACTGCACCTAAATCTAGTCTTTTGTACTTGCATTGGTACTAAAGGTGTGACTCCACACACACCCCTTTTTAAAAATATATATTTTTATTGGTTTCAGAGAGGAAGGGAGAAGAAGACAGAGAAGAGAGAAACATCAATGATGAGAGAGAATCCTTGGCCGGCTGCTTCCTGCACGCCCCCCATTGGGGATCGAGGCTGCAATCCTGGCATGTGCCCTGACCAGCAATCGAACCGTGACCTCCTGGCTCACAGATTGACTGACGCTCAATCACTGAGTTACGCTGGCCAGGCGACTTCCCCACCCCACCCCACCCCCCTTTTTTTATGACAATGAGTAAACCCTCTTCCTCATTTAAAAAATATTTTAGGAATGTCACTTTTTAGTCTCCCCAACGCATGACACGGTTTAAAAGAATTCATGGCTGATGCAAGCAGCACACCTGGCAAATACACCGGAACCACAGAGACCCGCCTGTCCTACCAGCTACCACCGAACGCAGCGGCCGCTCCTGAGCGACCTTCGCATACATAGAAAAGAGAGAGCGACGCTCAGTGCAAACTCAGTGTCTTTTACTTCCCAAAGGGAGGCGAGGGGTGGAGGGGTGGCCTCGGGTCCCAGAGCAAGCTTTGGTCACGCCTATAAAACAAACGAGCCCTGCAGGAAGCCCAGCGCCGCGTCTCACACCTTCCTTCTCAGAAACCCCACCACGCAGCTGACCCTGAGTCACACTGCCAACATGTCCATGCATTTTCCGAGACTCCGACTTTTCCCAAGCTATGGGGAATAATAATAATGATAATAATAATAATAAATAATAATAAATGCGCCGAAACCGGTTTGGCTCAATGGATAGAGCATCGGCCTGCGGACTGAAAGGCCCCAGGTTCGATTCCGGTCAAGGGCATGTACCTTGGTTGCGGGCACATCCCCAGTGGGAAGTGTGCAGGAGGCAGCTGGTCAATGATTCTCTCTCATCGATGTTTCTAGCTCTCTCTCTCTCTCTCTGTAAAAAAGCAATAAAATATATTTTAAAAACATTTTAAAAAAAAAGAATACTCCCACGGTGGGCAGCCTGAGGTCCTTGCAGAGAGAGAGAGAGAGAGAGAGAGAGAGAGAGAGAGAGAGAGAGAGAGAGAGATATTGATTGAGAAACAGAGAGAATATGAGAATATATGTTCTGGTCGGGAGGGGAGGGGGAGAGAGAATATGAACATATGCTCCTCCGGTCGGGTCCTGGCCCTGCTAGCCGCTGGGTGGAAAGGAGCGGGCCCGTCCCTCCCCAGGGCCCCCTCGGCCACCTCCTAGAGGACCCGGGTTCCGATGGCGCCTGGCGGGGTCCTCCGGCCCTAAGGACCCACAGGAGTTGGGAGCCGCCACGGAAAACGAGACCCCAGTTCCGTCTCCTACGCTGCGCTGACGGGACACAAACCCCTCGCTCCCAGGAACGAGAAGCCGAGGCGGGAGCCGCCCGACGACTCCCGGTCCGGCGCTCCCCCGCCTCACGCCGGGACGCGGACCCCGAGGCGGCGGCCGTCCCGCCTCTTCTCGCCGGCCTCGCCGCAGGCGGCACGCGGCTCCCTCCCTCGCGCGGGCTTCTTCCTTCCCTTTTCCCTTTTCTTTTCCCCGCGAACACCACCGGCGAGGGCAGAGCCAGGCGCTCACACAGGACCCTCACGACACCCGGACGGGCCGCCCCGCGCGGCGGCGGGCGCACCTGCCCGCGAGCCGAGGTGAGGGGCGGGGGACCCCGGGCCCCCGGAGCGGCCCCCGGGGCGAGGCCCCGGCGAGGAAACCCGAGTCCTCTCTCCCCACCCCGCTGGGCCCAGGCCGCCCCCGCCGCACGGTACCTGCTCCGCCAGGGCGCGACCTCACGCAGCCGCCTCAGGCACCGCCGCCACACGGGAGCCGCCATCTTGTCTGCCCCTGCTCAGCGGGCCACGCCCCCTTTCGCACGGTGGCGTCACGAGCCTCGAGCTCACGGAGCCAATGAGGAACGAGGAGCGGATGTGGGCGGAGTCGACTGAGCTCCTCCCCCCAGGCCGCCCCGCCCCACCAGCGTGGGGCTTGGAGGCAGCGGGCTGGGCAGGGGGCTGGGCAGGGGGCTGGGCAGCGGGCTGGGCAGGGGGCTGGACAGGGGGCTGGGCAACCGGCTGGGCAGGGGGCTGGGCAGGGGGCTGGGCAGCGGGCTGGGCAACAGGCTGGGCAGGGGGCTGGGCAACCGGCTGGGCAGGGGGCTGGGCAGCGGGCTGGGCAGGGGGCTGGGCAGCGGGCTGGGCAGGGGGCTGGGAAGGGGGCTGGGCAGGGGGCTGGGCAGGGGGCTGGGAAAGGGGCTGGGCAGGGGGCTGGGCAGCGGGCTGGGCAGGGGGCTGGACAGGGGGCTGGGCAACCGGCTGGGCAGGGGGCTGGGCAGGGGGCTGGGCAGGGGGCTGGGCAGCGGGCTGGGCAACAGGCTGGGCAGGGGGCTGGGCAACCGGCTGGGCAGGGGGCTGGGCAGCGGGCTGGGCAGGGGGCTGGGCAGGGGGCTGGGCAGGGGGCTGGGCAGCGGGCTGGGCAGCGGGCTGGGAAGGGGGCTGGCAGGGGGCTGGGCAGGGTCAGGAGGCGCTCCCTCTCCCGGTCCTAAACCAGGGCCACGGAGCAGCATGGCCAGTGCGGGGAGAGAGGTTCCTATCTCCTTATGTAGTTATGTATTTTTCCTTTTAGTTCTGACAATTTTTATTTAACATATTTTAATGTTTATGAAAATTCGAGATTGTTATGTCTTCCTGCTGGATTTGCCCTCCCCCCCCCCCCTTTTCAGGGAGGAATGGAGAGAGAGAGAAACATCAATGAGGAGAGAGAATCACTGATTGGCTGCCTCCTGCACGCCCCACACTGGGGACCGAGCCTGCAACCCGGGCATGTGCCTTGAGTGGGTATCGAAAAGTGACCTCCTGGTTCACAGGTGGATGCTCAACCACTGGGCCACCCAGGCCAGGCTGGATTTGCCCTTTTTGCCATGATGAATGACCCAACAGCTACTGGGCATTGCTTTCTTCTGAAATCTCCCTACTGCCACTAGGGGACAGAATTAGCCCGACATTTAAGAACCAGCGCTGCCCTAACGGGTTTGGCTCAGTGGATAGAGCATCAGCATATGGATTGAAAGGTCTCAGGTTCAATTCCTGTCAAGGGCATATACCTAACTCTCTATCCCTCTCCTTTCCTTGCTGTAAAAAAGTCAATAAAATATATTAAAAAAAAGAAAAAAGAAGAAAAAGAAAGAACCAGCACCAAATCCCTGTGATTTTGGGTACTGAATGGTGGGGGCTGAGCCTGAGCGGCATTACAGTTGTGGGCCTTTTGTTTGCCTTAAAGTTTTTTTCACCCCCTCTACGCCCTGCCCTCCCCCCCCCCCCAACCCCCACAATCACACACTGTTGTCCATGTCCGTGAGTTGAGGGAATTCTTAGTTTGGACTAGTCCTCTTATTCTCAGGAGGACCTACCAATGCTAAGATTCTGTGATGGAAGATGTTAAAGGAATAACAGGGCCTTAACTGATAACTAGCCTCTACCTCCTAAACAAAGTATAAAATCTCCTCAAGTAACGGTGAAGCAGAACAAGTGCAAGAGCACAGGCCCGGGCTGCGGGCTCGATCCCCAGTAGAGGGCGTGCAGGAGGCAGCCCATCAATGATTCTTTCTCATCACTGATGTTTCTCTCTTCCTCTCTAAAATCAATTAAAAAAAAAATCAATGGAAACAATATTCTCAAATAAGAATTAAAAAGAGAGAAAAGGAAAAAAAGCCTCATGGTAGGCACAGAAGGCACCCGGAGATGAAGTGCTACAGTCCTGGGCACAGGACTGTTCTCAGGACCTGGTGACCGCTTTGGGAGGTATAATGTCTGTTTTGATTATAATTCTGTGATATCTATTTAAAAAAAAAAACACACCACAAAACCGCCTCATGACATTACAGGAACAATTTTAACTTATTAATGCCAAGTCATGAGAATAAAATAACAGCCTGGAGGGTTATTGGAAAGGTTTCAAAAATTCTTTATTTTCATAAATTAACACACATAACAGTGGGAATTTTAGAGGCACAAACTACCAAACAGAACAGGAGCTGCGGGGGGCATCATGTATGCCAATGTTACCAAAAATGTACAAAATCTCACTGAACTATTGACCGTGATAATATATAAACACGCCAGGCAGCTGCGTACTGGCCAGCCCGGCCCACGGAGGTGCGGAGGCCTCACCACAATTCAAATCCAATTCAGCACCAGAGAGGGGCTCGTGAGGGCGCACAATGAACAAGCGTCGAGCCTGACCGTGCTGCGCTGGACGGCGGGCTGGACGGGGCCCCCTTTGCCATCGGAGAGTCTTTGCTGCCCCGGGGGCGGTCAGAGGACATCACATTTGATTGGAATAGAGCAGCCTTCTCCCCAGCCAGCCTCTGCACAAGAAGTTCAGCTATGGCGAAGGAGCCCTTCCCTTCCGTGGGCTCAGGAAAAGGCTGCTCCGCGTCATCTGGCCGATTATTTAGACTTTGGATACAGCCACCCACAAGGTGGCGATTAAGAGGTCCTTTCCATGATACCAGGGGGGAAAGCTTACAGAAACAAAACAGGAGAATTTTAAAAAGCACCAACTGCATACATCTCCCACCCCGGGGACCGGGAGGCAAGGACCGCTGCCTGAAGCTGGTCTCTCGTGGATGCTCGTGCGCGTGGGACAGAGATGGCGAGGCCCCGCCCCAGCCCGGCGTCCTTGGGACAGCTCCTGGCCTGGCGGGCAGGACAGAGTGGGGGTGGGGGTGGGGTGGAGGGGATGGGGACGGAGGGTCCTGCCCGGAGGATGGGATCTGGAATTTATCTCCGACTGGCTCTGGCACCCACTCAAGACTTTCAGGCAAAACTGTGACAAAGTGTCATGATTTCCACAGCTCTTGGAGGAGCGCAGAGTTTGGGGATTCACAGCATGAGTTTCTGAGCTTCTCAGGCTCCAGTAAGGCAACCGCCACATGTCTTTCCACTGCCCCTCCCTCGGCTGAAGCCCTCAGAGTAAGGTCAGTAAGAACAAGTGGACATAATCTGGTTTGGAGGGGGATGAGGTATGAAGGACTGAAGCTGGAAGGGGGCCAAAGGAAAAGACGGGGAAGGTGGGTGGCAAAGCAAAGACAGCTATAAGCTAGAAGACGAGGAAACCCATAGTTCAAAGACTCAGCGAAAAACTGATGGGTGGAACCCCAATTGGACCTGAGATCTCTACTCCCTTTCCCATCTCAGTGACCCTAAACCAGAGCTGAGTGAGTTATAGTTAACTACAACTCCCGCTACTTCGGAAGGAAGTCCCCAAGCTTAGGAACTGTACCAGCGCCCACTCAGTCATCAGCGGTCCCCACACACAGCGCTGCAGCTGGCCAGCCAGCGGGGAGGACAGGGGGTAAGACACGTGTGCCCGGCAGGGAAAGGCCTGGCCAGAGCCCACCGAGAATCTCAAGCAGACAGGCTTCTCCCCACATTCCCAGGTCTCCATTTCCAGCCATTCTCCCCTCCCGGGGCCAAGGTCCCAAACCACTGCTGCTGGCCCAGACAATGCCGTGCCTCTCCCAGGCAGACCTGAAGCCTGAACTGTGATGTTGGTGATGCCACAGCTCTGCCCACCTCAACGTCAGCCTGCAGGATGGCGTGGCTCCCGCATCGCTGACTCGGCTACCCCGCACGGGTGCCCGCAAACAGGCTCCGGTGCCTCACGGAGAGTTTGCGAGCTTGTCCAGCAGTGCTTCCCTGAACACGATTGTGCAAGGGCCACTGCATACCTCACCCAGCCCTGAAGCAAGACAGAAGCCCCGCGGGCCCTGCCCCAGGACCGAGTACACACAGTCTAGGCCACATGGACGTGCAGGGCGGAACGGGCTCGCTCCCTCAGAGCCGGGGTGGGGTGGGGGTGGGGGGGGAAGGCTGGCCTCCTGACGCTGTCTGCCCTCGCCTGGGAGCCCGGGGGCTCCAGGTGCGTATGGGACGTGCTAGGCTGTGTCTGAGACAGACGTGCCCTTTGATTTTCCCAGCTCCTGTCCTCTCTCTGCTGCAGCGTGGCACATTGTCCACCTGCAAAGGAAAGGCACGTAGAGTCCTCCCGCCCGCCCGTCTCCCCACTGACAGACGGGGAACAAAAGAAACCCTGGAGACACATCCCAGGCGGCCCCTCGCTCCTCTAACAGGCCGGCTCCAGAGCATCTGCAGCTCGGACAGTTCCCAAGGGCAGCGGCCTCCGCAGTGGCTCCTGGGAGACGGGAGAGGTGGCCAGCGTCCTGAGGCTGGGTCTAGGACTCCATGCACCAGCCAAGGAATGTCATTCTCTGAACTCTTGTTTTGAGAAAGAGAAAGAGAAAGAGAGAGAGAGAGAGAGAGAGAGAGAGAGAGAGAGAGAGAGAGAGAACACAAGGGAAGAGGGCAGGGGAACTGGGACGCAGGATCGCACACAGGGATTAGTGGGAAAGAAATGAAACCTCTGGGCCTGCTAACCCACACGCATCCTTCTGCCCAGACTCCCGTGGGCACACGAGCAGCTCAGCAAGCACCGGCATTCCACATTTCCAGTAGGTTCGACACAGGAGCCCAGAGCAAAAGAGGTGTCCTCAGCGGTGCCAGCCGTGGGATTCCTGATCCCACCGCAAGGACACACCGCTGAGCCTGAACTGTGGGGACACCCCCCCACCCCCACTCTCAGGGCCGGCTGCTCCGACAGCTGCAAACACGCGGGCCGGCCTCTGCTGCCCAGCTTTGTTACATTCCAACACTGCAGATAAAATCCATTAAAAGACCACACCCAACCTGCACACTTTAAAAATGATTGGGAGAGAAACCTGCTCTTACTTCTATCATTAAAATTAATACATCTACTTAGCACGCAGGAATGAGGGCCCAGAGGAAAGAAGTGCTCCCTCTAACGAAGTGCACGAGAGAGAGATGGGAAGGGGACTGCTGAGACACGCGGGTGGAAACATGTCTCTCCACTGTCCCAGACTGGGCCCGACGCCTGCCATCTATTCTGCAGACATGTATCATCTTTCTCCTCAATGTCTTAAAAAATTGTTTTAAAATCACATTTAAAGGCTCTGAACATGCAGCAATTAAAAAAAAAAAAAAAAAGGAATAAAACAAATGAAAAAACACAACATTAAAAAGTGCAACTTACTTTGAATGGGGCCTGGATGGCCCCTCTGGCACTAGTGACCCACAGTCACGGAGGGGAGAAAAAATGATGGGAAAAAGAGACACACACACACACACACACACACACACACACACACACAGACTCAGACACACTCACACACACACACACAGACTCAGACACACGCGCGCACACACACACACACAGACTCACACACACACACACACACACACACACACACACACACACGCGCGCGCGCGCGCACACACGCACACCCAGGTTCTGGGCAGAGGGACTCAAAGGGCAGGGAACACCACAGGCTAATCGCTCCTCGGCTACTGAAACGAGCCGCGGGGCCCCTCAGGCGAGGACGCCAGGCCCCCTCCCTGGGCAACACCCGTCAGCCATCTTGGTCTAGCACCACCGTAAACACGTGACGCTCCCACAGGGACGCGGAGGCCGGAGCCCGTGGAATCTAGTGTCGTCCAAGGTGCGCTGCGGCCCCCGTGTGGATGGCACAGCGGTCAGAGGTCGCTCAGGACCACGTCCAGAAGGAAGGAAGGAGGCTCCGGAGGCTTTGGACGCAGCAGGAGAAGCGGGAGACCCTCGTCACCAGTTTCTAAAGAGGCTGCACCTCGAGGCAGGAAAGAGCCGTGGGTCGCAGGGTGGACAGTCTGGGCACCGGGCCAACCTCTTCCATGAAGACGCCCCAACCCAGCTGCTTCTCAGCACCCCGGCGATGGCTCCTCTCCCTCCTCCTTGGCGAAGAAGGTCTCCAGTTCCATCAGTTTCTGTATCAAAAGGGCATCCAGCTCTCGACTCTGCAGTGCTGCCTTCTGGGCTCTGGTGAAGCTGCCCGTCACCTTGACCTTCCCTCGAGCTCTCCTCTTCCGTGGGACGGTGAAATCCTGAAATTCCAGAACGCGCTTCCTCTTCTGTTGGCTGACAGAGATGAGCGTACCGTTTCGTTCCTGAGGCTCCTCAAAGATGGTCTCTAGACACCTGAGGGGGACACAACACCGTCACCACCGCACCCACTCACCGGGCGGCTCTTCCAGTCCACAGGGGCCGAGAGCTGTTTGCTCTGACTCCTAGCGACTGTTTCCTCCAGCCAGTATCTTTCTATTTAATGTGTGTATGTGTGTTTTCTCAACTTTGTCACGGTATAACTGAAAAGTGAAAATGTAATATATTTAAAAGCATATAATGTGATTTGATATAACTGCACATTGGTAAAGGATTCACACATTGGGGTTAACGCACTCATCACCTCAAAGATTTACTTTTGGGGGGATGGGAATACAGTTCAATGACCTGAACTGAATTTAGACCCAGAGGCAGCCAAGTAAAACCTTTTCTGTGTCTGGAATCATATCTGAATAGCAGTGATTATTAGTCTAAAAGACAGCCAGCATATTGAGTAAAAACTCCAGTACGAACTAAAAGGAAACTACATTTTCTGTATCAACTAACCCCAATATACATTTCTTTCCCATTCCACCACCGACCCCAATTCGAATGCTGGGAACTAAAAGCACCGATTCTAGTAATTTCCAAGACCTGACACGGGAAGAACTGGGCGTACCCTGTCTGTAGTTAAAGAACTGGAGATTTACATGGATCATCTCAGAAGCCCTCCCCGTCTATGACTGCCTACTCCTATGTACCTACCTGTTCGCAGGAGGAGACTTATAATTCTTGTTGGTATATATTTCTTCCAAACTGAACTCCTTTTTCTTTAACCTGAAACGAGAACAAAATGTTTGCCTCTTACGAGAGATAAGACTGGCTTCCTCTGTCCTTTCCATTCATTTACTTTAGACCTTTCTGCAGTATGTTGTAGATGTGTTTCATGAACTGGATTTCCCCCCCAGGCTGCCATTCTCTGATGTCATGACATTTAGCTCATTTATACTTATTGGGAAGGATACAGCTGAATTTCTATCTATTTCTTAACTTACTGCTCCTTCTTCTATCCTAATTGATGCAACCCCAGCCCCCACCTCACTTGCTTCTGTCTCTCTTACTGCCCGTCTCCTGGCTTGGAAATCATACACTCTTCCATTCTTTTAGTGGTTGGTGAAAATGTTATGAGTGTATTGCCCAGAGCCTCTGGCCACGCTACCAGTGACTATTCTTGAGACAATCTTAGGAGTAAAACAGCTCAAGAGGATAGGTCATGAAAAGGCCGTGACCTTATGCCAAACCACTTTCCAAAGGAGGGAAGCCAAGTGACTTGGAGGAAGAGCTCACCTTTTGGGACGAGGGAGGCCCATGGGCGTAAGATTAGGGTCTGGCTTGGGAATGGTTTTCCGGATTCGAATTTGGGAGACTTTCTTTGGCCTCTTCTCGGGCTCAGCCTGTTTTTAAGGGTTAAAAAGAAAGATATGTCAAGTTGTAAGATATTTTTAAAAATATAAAGTCCCTTTATTTCACCCTCAAGATATCACAGCCTCCATTTACAGATGACTCTAATCAGTACTTTATGACAAAGCTTCCCCTGCTGCGCCCGCCACCAGTGTTTTCAGCAGCCATCCTCTCTTATATTAAAAGAGAACCCTATCATTATCTGTTGGAGACTTCAGATGTTGCAAAACTGAACAACACCATCATTCACTCATCCTCTTTGAATGCGTGAAGCAGCGCTGTGGTCTAGTTCTCCAAACATTGTTAAATTCTGCCATTAAGAAAAAAGGATCCAGAAAACAATGCAGATTAAGAGATCCAGAGCATCCTTTCGTGGACAAACAGAAAACCTCCGGTCTTGGCCATCTCTGGTCCTCAGCTGAAGCTCAAGGTGGTCAGCAGAGGCAGCCAGGGCCCCTGTGTACCTATCACGTGACCTGCAGTGATCGATGGCCACGAGCACGTCACACTCACGTCTTTCTGATCCGGAGGGCTGCTCTGCGGACGGGGGCGCGCTGCCGTCACACCATCCAGCTCATCTAATCCGGGAACCGCGAACTCCGAGGCTGACAGCAAGAGCTTGCCGACAGCCGAGTCTGTTACCAAGCGAGACTTTGGTACCAGCGCAGGGAATGGAGGCTCTAGCCTAGCAGCGCCGAGAGAAAAGCACAAGATAAAGGACTGGACTCACTTTCTACCTCAGCACACTGAACTTAACACCCAGACGAGGGTTGAGGCCTTCTGCCGGCAATGACATTTCAACCCGATCTCCAGTCACACCCGGGCATGGCCTGTGTGCGTTTACAAATATTTACAAGAATGCAGTCAATCCATTTCACTGGTACGGAGCAATTAAATAAGGAAAAAGTAATGAATAAGGAAAAATGTAAGAAGGAACAGATGTTTGGGAAGGGAGAAGACACTTAGTGAACTAAACAAATGAAATGCAGGCAGAGGAGATCAATCCCATCCAGGCACCAAAAACAGCCTTTGAGGGAACTCACAGTAGAATGAGCTGGCTGAGGGATTTGAGCCCCCTCCCCCTTATTTGGTATTGATTACACATTCTTGGTTGCTACTTATAATGAAACACATTTGAATCTAAGATTCAATCTGGTTTAGAAGAAAAACAAAAGCTCGGAATCATACCAGGCACAATCCACACCATCGCTACCATTTTCTCTCTCTCTCTCTCTCTCTCTCTCTCTCTCACACACACACACACACACACACACACACACACACACACACTCAGTCACTCACTCCACAATTCCTCATGTGCCAGCACATTGGACTTACCTTATCGGACTGCCACTGGCATTGTAAGTAGCTTCCATGCCTGGAAGAGGCACATATGGTAACATGGTGTGGCTGAAGCGAAGCAAAAGTACATGAGCAATAGGTTAGGGCAGCGAAACAACAGAAAACGTTTTGATGTCATTGCAGGTTTAGCACCAGACACGCAATTAGAGCCCCAGGCAGATAAGAAATGTCAGTCCCTCAGGAAGATGACAATCTCCCGGTTGGGAGCATCTCGTTTATGTGCTCTCCGCCAGAATGGAGGCGGGCCGACAGGGAGATTCTTTTCTCACTTAAATGGAAAGAAGGTAGAAATAAGCAGAGGACAGTAAGAGAAAGGAGGGGAAAAGTCATAAGGGCAACATAGAACATGTTTCAAGTTTCTACTTATTCAAAGGGTTATAAACAGGAGAATATGCCTATTACATCTAAATCAGATCTTTAAGGTTATAACTCTCAAATTCTTTTTCTTCTCTAATTTCTATTAGAAGGTAAAATGATACCGATGAAATTATTTTCCTAGTGATCAAACCACGAGAACTCTCTTCCAAGTTCACGTCAAATTCTATATATTCTACAACTATAGTATGTAAATGCCAATCTTGGAAGCCTTTCTGTTCCAGAAAGAAATGCAAAGGTTCACAAACCAGATTTGGTGTCGTCTACATAATTGTTAAAAAGGTATTTCTTTGTATCCTTTACACACCAAACTCTGAATTAGGTGCTGGCTATATAATACTTTGTGAACAAGCTACAGCTACAAGCCATTATTGGTCACTACTCAATGTGTAATGTTGTTCTTTTCAAAGGAGGGACAGAGGAGAAAAGAAATTCAAAAGACTTGATGGTTTGCAGAATGAATGGGGCAGAACAAAGAATGCCAAATAAAGGGTTCTGCAGGAAATGAGAGGGGTCGGCATTTAAATTACTGCCCCATTTTCTCCCAGAGACTGGGCAAGGTATAAACAGAGTGCAGACACAGCTCCCACCAGCCCTGCTTGGCCAGCAGCGGCCTCCCGCTCCCTGATGGCAGGCAGCAAAGAAGGAACACTTACAAAGAACAGGGGACAGTTTACCTGCTCGCGATGTCCAGAGCTGGCTGCCGCTTGCCGTGAGTGGCGTGCAGAGCAGAGGCTTCGAAGGGGCAGGCAGAGGGCCCGTGCTGGCTCCAAACGGACAGCACTCGGCCCACCGAGTAGGGCAGAGAACAGAAGATCTTGTCCGCGATGGAGGCCGGAGACCGTAACCCTCTCAGGCCCTGTGTAAACTGAGTCACAAAGAGCCTCTGCATGGCAGGCATGTGACTGGAGAAGCTCCGTTTTTTTGTCCAGATCCGGTAGCATCCCGGGGAACAAAGTGCTAGGAGTGTGTGAAGGCCAAGGGCGGAGCAGCCTGGTCTGGCCTGGACCACCGCGGCGCCTCCGCAGTCCCGGAGGGGAGCTGGGGGCTGTGCAGGAGCCCGGGCGTGTGCCTGAGCACGGAGGCCGGTGTCTTCCCTGAATGCGGCCATCCCAGGGCAAGCGTGGGACAGGAAGAAGGAAAAGGTCCACTTGGGGGGTGGCGAAGGGCAGGGGGCGGCCTCCCCCAAGGCAAGCCTCGCGGGAGCACAGTGCTCGGGAAAAGCCCGTGGGGACTCGGGCACGGGCTCGGAGCCTGACTTCACGTGAAAGGATATCGGGAAGATTCCAGAACCGAACAGCAGCAGCGGCATCTTGTCGCTCAAATCTACGAAGCTCATTTTGATGGCTTCGAGGGGATCCAGTGTCAAGGGCTTACTGTGAGGCCTCCGGTCCCAGCCGCTGGCTGTCAGATAGGGGTTCAGCTGCATCATGCTGTCTGAGAATCCATCCAGCAGCCTTTTGCACCGGAGCCGCTTGTAGCTCTTAGCCACCGGGAGAAGCTCGGAGGAACCCCGCCGGTACCTCAGCCTGGGGGTCTTGGGGGCCGGGGCCAGTCTGGAGGCGAGGACAGACAGCTTGCTGAGTAAGGCTGAGTCTTTGGTAGGCTTCCTGGCATTCAGGCTCCTTAAGAGATGGCATGGGGCAGCCTTCTGCTTTGGTATGTGCCTCACGGGGCTCCCGCTGGGTACTGTTTCGGGGTCCAGTCGTGTGGGTGCAGACAGAGCAGGTGAACTGAGAAACCTGTGCGCTCTGGTGAGGATGGTTTCGGGGGAACTCTTTAAAAAGGCAGCATTCCTGATTTTACTGATTTTCCTCCCCACGTGGACTTGCTCCTGGCAGGAAACTTTCTTACACGCCCGATGCGGCTGCTTCTTTAAGGGAAGAGCTCCTTTCTGATGGGAAGCGTTCCCAAAGGCACCGTGTATCTCGTAACACCTCGCGGAGCTGGCGTCTTGTGACTTCTGGGGGGCCCTAGGAAGGCGAGGACCCGTGCACAGCGCCATGTCCTTTTTTAACGGATGACGTAATTTCTCCTCCTGCGGGTCCTTCAACTGCTGAGGCTGTGCACTCGTGTTGGCCTGGGCCAGCTGTGCTGGGGGCACTTCTCTCATCCTGGTGTACTCACATTTGTAATCCTTAGGCTGGTTCTTATCTTGCACTTCGTCTGACAACGTGTCGCATTGTTCCAATATCGTATGTGCTTCCTTTTGATGGTCACACCGCTCGGCCTTCTGCAACACGGAGTCTAGATCCCTCTGGCTCTGCTGCTCTTCAGCATCACCACGCATCCTCCGGGAGGTACCATGTGTCTGAGGAATCTCACTCCTGCCATCACTGTGACCATCTTCCCTGGCGATCCTCTCGTCAGATTCCTCCTCAGTAGCTAAGGGATCTGGCGGTCCCCTCTGATGTTCTTTGGCTTCTTCCCCTTTCACTTTACTTTCTGTTTCCGTCATCAAAGGCAAATTCTTCATACTGATGTCAATGCTGTCTCCTTCGCCGGGATTCCCAGTAATCCTTGGTTCTCCTTCCTTCATCTCAGGCAGGACTGTGCACTCCTCAATCTTTTCACAAAGCATTCCGCCCTCTCTTGGTTTAGAAATATTTTTTAGGTCAGTGTCTTCACTTTTAATATTAGCTTCTGATGTTTCTTGAGCAGACAGACACAACGGCGTTATCTCAATGGATTTCAGGCTCTCTGGGGGTACAGAGTTCTCATCTTGGTGTCCAGAAGACACCAACCCTTCCGAGGAAATTCCAAAAGCATTTTCCTTGTCAAACTCAGAATGTATTTCTTGTCTTGATTTTTCAATCATCCCTTGAGTTTCTTTCAGAGATGCTTCTTTAACTTGCTGTTCATGATGAATATGATTTAAAGACACATTTCCTCTCTCCAATATTCTTGTATTTGGCTCATGATCCGCAATAGACTCTATCTCACTTGCACAAGGGTCTGGATGCACTTCCATTTCACAATCGTTTAACAACCTACAAACTTTCTCTTCACATGATTTTTTTATTTCAAGAGATTCTACTGCAGAGGAAGTGGCATCTGGGAATTCTGAATCCTGGTCAATCTGTCCTATCACTGCAGCATTCAAGTCTCCTCTCTGAGAATGGGTACTCCTTGAGGTTTCAATCAATGCCAGTCCACCTTGCCGTACACCACCAAGCGCGTCCAGCATGCCTTGTGTAGGTTTATTGTTACAGTTTGTGTAGGCAATGCCTACCCTACCACCTGTGGGCTTATCACAACTAGAAATCCTTTCAAAGCCTCCTTTCAAATAGCCTTTCTTCCGACTACCCCCAGATAGTGAGCTGTTATTGCCTGAACTGAATGGCAGGTTCTTTTGGTGACAGCTTTCCCCTGTGTTAGGCTCTGTGATGGTCTGTCTCTGGTCACTACCTAGTGTCCCTTTAGCTGGTTTATCTTCACTTCTACATGCATCTGGTCTGTCTGGGTTACTCCGGTGGTCAAGGACTTCATTTGTCTTCTGATCAAGCGTTTTAACTGCTTGATTCACGTTTTTAAAACCGGAACACTTAGCAGAAGACAGCTCCAATCGTTTTTCAGGTTTTGGAATGTTTACAGATTGGTTTAGTTCTTGTGTGGCACAACCAGAGTTGTTATAAGACACAGTCTCTTTGGGTATATACTGTTCCTTTAATTCTAGCCCTTCCTCCCTGGATTGGATGTGATTGGTGCCGTGAATGGTTTTGTTGGAAGCTTCACTATTTAACATATCTACTGTCCTTTTGTTTCTGATCTTAGCTCCTGGAAGGCTGTCCTTAGTTTCTCTTCCGTTAAATTCACTTCCCTCTGATGTACAACTCACTTTATGGATGCTTCTTTCCATGGAGTCTTCTCTTCCTGGGGAGTAGTGACCGCTGTGCTGAAATGCATTTTCAGAGTTGATTTTCGAAGAGTTTTCACTTTCCAGGATGATTCTTCTAGACTCATCAGCAGCACATGCAGTGCTCTCTCCTGGTGCATTTCCCTCTACACAATGGCAGCTAGAGAGATGCTGAGGTTGAACACTCTGACAATCCACGATAGAGACTTCTTTCTTACATGTCAGAAGTCTGGACTGTGTATCTTCTGTCCCTGAATCAGCCATTTCGTCTTTTCTTTGAGGACTTCCAGGTTTGATATTTAAGGTGCAATTGTTTGACGAGGCACCACAGGTTTTGTCATCTGGTGGAGAGATGTCTTTCATTTCTGTCTTCATGGGGACGGTTTGGGTATCAGTAAGGACGCTGGCTCCATCCTCTAATGGAGGGTGATGGCTCTGTTGGGAATCCTCGCTTAGTGCTAAAGGCAACTCTTTGTCAGTTGACGATGTCGCATGATCTTGAGAATTAAGGGACACTTGATTTAAAACACATTCACTTTCTGTTTTGTCTAAAACCAGTTCATCAGTAGAGGGAAGTTCATTCATCTCCCAGGCAATGCTCTGTTCACCTAAATGTGTAACACTGTCCTGTGAGGTCTGTACACATTTTTCTGACTCACGTCTGCAACCAAACTCTGGAGATAGTAATAGCCGAGCAGCATCTTTCTTGGGTTTTGATTCCTCATTTACAAGACTTATCTGGTTCTCTGGCGTTAAACTCACAAGGGCATTTTTTTCAATCATAAAGTCACTATGTAATGCTTCATTTAACTGGGTATCACCTTCCAGATTTCTCTGAGTGCTGACTGAGGAGTTAGGGTGTTTACTGTACATCTTTTCACTTAACATACCAGGCTCGATAGTGGTTGTCTGTTCTGGCTCTTCGATCTGCATCGAAGAGGAAGAACTGCTTTCTTCAGAGTGTCTGCCTGGATGGCTTATATTAGTAGAAGTTTCGCTATGGTCCTCAGGGTCTGTTAAGCTACCTTGCATGTCTGAAGTGATCTTCAAGTCTTTTTTTTTAAACAGGACTTCCGTGGCTTCGGGAAAAGACGTGGGCCTTAGACAACTGGAGCCGTCTGTGTGGACACTGCCTTGAAGGCAATGGTCATCGTGGGTATTTTCTTTTGGGGAGGCAGCAGTCTTTTTTTCTCCAGAACAGTGACCACTCGCATCCTCTTCCGGTTGCTTGGCATTCACAAGAAAGAATTCCCCCCCGTCAGACCTGCAGTTCAAACACTGTTCTTCATTTTCTTCTCTAAAAGCCAAGTTCTTGCTTTGAGCGTCACCACCAGAACAGGAGTTCTCCGTCTTTTCAGCAGATCTCTTTAGCAAGCCATCATCTGCAAGACTGCATTTTTCTAAGGCTGCTGTTCTGGATTCTGGATCAGATAAACTTGATTGGAAACATGAAACTACAGCTACATTTCTCACGGGGCTGGGACTGCTGTGTGCAGAGCTGTGCTTTTCATCATGGTGGCCAGCAATCTGGTGGTGATTGTCTTCTGCTTCACAGACGAGGCTCAGCTTACACAACTCTTCCTTCCCATCGTCCACTTTGCAAATGGCACTGTTCCCTGGTAATAACGACAATGGAGAAGAACAAGTTTTTAATTCTTCACGTGCTTTTTCTTTAGGAGTTGCTTCTGTTAACCCAGGCTTCGCAAAGTTCAAAGGCTGTAGGGAAGTTAACGTGCCGGTTTCTGAAACCTCACCACTGGTCATGATTCTGTCTACTCCCGGGCCATCACTGCACTCAGCCGGGAGATCTTTACTCACGCTGCCATTCTTGTGTCCTTCATTAGTATCTGCCTCAGTCCCACTGACCTTCATACCTTGGACTTGTTCAGCAGATTTTGACAGAATTTCAGTTGTAATTTGTTCATTTCCTTCTGCACAAAAGAAACAATTCCAGCCGAAACCGGTTTGGCTCAATGGATAGAGCGTCTGCTTGGGAACTGAAAGGTCCCGGGTTCGATTCCGGTCAGGGGCATGTACCTTGGTTGCGGGCATATCCCCAGTAGGGGGTGTGCAAGAGGCAGCTGATCGATGATTCTCTCTCATCAATGTTTCTAACTCTCTATCTCTCTCCCTTCCTCTCTGTATAAAATCAATAAAATATATTTAAAAAAAAAAAAAAAGAAACAATTCCAAATCAGCATGTAATCATGAAAAATAAATCCATGAAGGTAGAGAAAAAAGTAATCATGCAACAAACAACAAGAATGCCCGACTCAAGAGAAGAATTGCGAAGTGAGTGCACTAAGCCTTTGGTTTTGCTCTCTGCAGAACATGACAGAGGGCCACAGTGTACCTGACTGAAACAGGCAACGTGGAACAAATACTTTTCTCTAAGTGTTTCTTACATGTACTTAGCAGGACAAAGGACTACGACATGAAGACACCTAATTCAGAGTCTTAAGCAGCTTCCATTCGAAAACATTAACAAATCAGACTCACAATATAACAGCTTATATTATTAGACTACCTTCTTACTACTTAAATAATTAAATACTAAAGAAGTCACTGATCAGTTACCTTGGCGGAAATACCGGGAATAATAGCTTCCCTACAAGACCGGTCATGAGATGGTGGTAATCACTGAAACTGAGTGAGGTACATGGGGGGGATTAGTATGCTCTCTACTTTCAAAAAAATAAATTGCAATTTGATGAACATTTCCAGTATGAAGATTTGTGAGGGGTAAATACCTCTGATCCTCAGACAATCCTCAGGGAGGTCCATGCATAACAGCTCTTCACGCGACGGCATCGGGGGGTCGTCCTGCAGGAGGAGATCAGCAGTCAGGGAGGGCTCAGAGCTGGTGAATACGTGAGCTCATGAATGAGGATTCTTTGTGACTCCAGAAATTCACTAGCAGTCACAAAGATTGGAAACTGAAGGAAACCTCAAATTCAAATAAGAATCATCAATTAAAAAACTCCCACTTCTCTAGAATTTGAGCTGGAAAAGCCAACTTTCCCAAGATTGGGACAACAGAGGCTTAAAATGTTGGCCTAAAGATCCATACAAAGCCCTATAAATGCCTTCTGAATCAAGAAACAAATTGCTGCAATGTAATCTTAATTTCATTAAAAAATATATCATGAAACTTGATGTACTGTATCTCAGTCCCTAACCATTTGAAATACATACTCAATTTTCTTTCCAAAACTTTGTAGAACGGATTTTTTAAAATTTTATTTTCATCCCCCCTCACATGGGAGGAGGGACTAAGGGGAAACACATTTCTTCCTACCATCTAGATCTTGTTAGATTCTGACATCTGATCATTACTATACTAACACTGCTGCACAATCTGTCTTGAAGGAGTAGATTTTTAAGATAAAGTTCCCATGGATCCCTCTTTCAACCTCAAGTGAAATAACTGCTAATGTTTGCAGCATTCTTTCAACTATAGGACATAAGAAACATCATGTAGTAGCACAACTTGTTTTTCAGATTGACAGTAAAGAAATTCTTTGTCTTGCCCATGCACCATGCCATCTCCCTGACCGCTGCTTTGGAATAAAACGCAGCTCTGGGACATCCCCAAAGCTTTGGCAGATTTTAGGAGGGTCTTAAAAACCCTTCTTATACTGTTCGTCTGTAATCTTATTTCCCATTAAAAACTGGCTGTATGTTCTGGGGGGGAAAGTACAATTTTCTTATTCATTCCCATGAGACTAGTTTAGAGCAGGAAAAACACACAAACACTTAAGGGGAGAAATGACTATCCATCAGGCTGTCAGCTTGTATAAGCAGGCAGTCCGAAGCTCCTTGGGGCCTGATGGACTGCTGAGCCATTCGCCCAGCTTGTAACCAGACCCTGCTGAGCTCCTCCAAACGCCAGCTTCCTGAGGCAGAGGCAGGTGGAAGGGCAGAGATGACGGCCTCCATCTTCGGATGGGACTGCCTATGCACTGAACTATGCAATTATGGGTCCACAACATGGAGCAAATGAGACATTTCCTACTTCGTGACATTTGTGGAAATAGCCAGGATTATGTTCATAGCAAAGTACACTGAAAATAAAGCAACTTCTGTATTTCTAGATGGAACCCTCCCTTTCCTATGTTTGCATATTTATAAAGGAACAGCTGTAGAATGGTAACTATAAGTCATCTTAACAGAGTTTAATAAAAAGGAGTTTTCATCCATTCATCGCAATTCAGAGAAACAACTGGTGCCTTTACATGAGATACTGGTCATGTTGGCTCAGTAAGGCATTTTTTGCTTTTGTTGTTGTTTATTATTATTAAACTAGAGGCTCCGTGCATGAAATTCGTGCATGGGGGGAGGGGGATTCCCCCTCAGCCCAGCCTGCACACTCTCCAATCTGGGATCCATCAGGGGATGTCCGACTGCCGGTTTATGTCAATGATTAGCACAATTTTAAAACCGGCAGTGGGACATCCCTCTCACAATCTGGGACTGCTGGCTTCTAACTGCTTGTCCCCCTGCCAGCCTGATCACCCCTAACTGCCTCTACCTGCCGGCCTGATTGCCCCCAACTGCACCCCCCCCCCCCCGGCCTAGTCGCCCCCAACTACCCCCCTGCCAGCCTGGTCACCCCACGCAGCCTGCTGTTCAGTCGTTTGGTTGTCCCTCACTAACCCCCGTTTGTCTTTTCACCCCACACAGCCTGTGTTCAGTTGTCCGTCTGGTTGTTTCGGTTGTGACGGCCGCTGGCTTTTTATATATTAGGATATGTACATAAAGTCACCATGGGTCCTAAGAAAGTTGGTGATAGGAGCAAAGTGAAAAGGAAAGTTGTGAGAACATGATAGAGCTTGAAAAAGAAAAAATTGCAAAGTATGATAGAGCGTGTCTGATCTGGCTACCGAGTATGACATGGTGAAGTCCATGATTAGCACAATTTTAAAACATAAAGAGGCTATCAGCTATCAAGAGTGTGATGCTATAAAGGGGTGAAAGTGCTCACAAGACAACAATCGCAGACATCTCCATGGCATCTCACTCCACAATGCCATCCCTAATCAGAATGCCACCCGAACTTAAGGGACAAGTGCACGTAATTTCTTAACATCGGATGCAGAAATGCCATATGACTATCGCAAAGAGACTCAGTAGTTCATACACAATAGCTGATTCAGAGAAGTGACACTTTTTCATTAAATAAGAACTTCCTCTCTTCAATGGTCTAATATCTTAAAAAAATCATCCAAAAAAGTTAACACCAAAGTCAACATTTTGGAAATATTGAAAATGTTGACTTTGGAAATGTTTCAAGAATAAATCGTAAGCTCCCTATCAGCACCTACATGTTAGCCTGTGAAATATGACTCTGGAAAACTGTCATTCATATTCAACTCATCTGAATCAAGATCTCATTTCTTACCTGACTTGGGCTGATCTTTCCTTCAGAGGCTGTGGAATGTTGACACGGGTCTTCCTTTGCTCCCTTACGGGGGTCTTTTGTGATTTTCACCCGGTCCCCTCGGTCTCTGAAGACCGTGAGCTCCATGCTCTTGGTTTTCTCTTCCCTATCCAAGGTTCCAGAAGCCACAGGACCTCCTGCCGTGGAGTCCACCAGCCCACACCGCCCAGGCTCTCCCCCTCGATCCGAGGTCTCGGAGGTTTCTTCACGACTCTCCGCATGAGTCCTCTGCGGCTCCGAGGGCACTGCCCTACTCTGACTTACAAGAGAGCTTGAGGCTCCAGGTTTTACATCTGGAATCACACGTGGCTCAGGGACAGCATGAAGCTCTCTGGAGACGCTTACTGGGAGTTCAGAGTATAATTCCTGTACCACGGCAGACATGGAGGAATCAAGTGGCACTGGCTGAGTCTCTATTCCGGATGACAGCATTAGGGCAGATGGAGATTATGGAGTCAAGTCTTACATCAAACGGTTCACCCTGACACAAATCAAAGGAAGGGATAAAAGTTTAAAACTCTGCAGGGTTGAAGAAAGCTATCTCAGCTCAAACTGGCAAAAATAAGGATTATAAATTCTAACTTAAATGCCGGCATTCTCTGGCATAAAAAAAAAAAAAAATTGTCCTTAATAGACAGAATTTGTGGAAAACAAATGATATAAATTAAAAGGTCAAAACAGGCCTGGCTGGTGTGTCTCAGTGGTTGAGCATCGACCTTATGAACCAGGCAGTCCTGGTTTAATTCCTGGTCAAGGAACATGCCTTGTTGTGGGCGTGCAGGAGGCAGCCAATCAATGATTCTCTCTTATCACTGATGTTTCGATCTCCCTCCCCCTCCCTCTCTGAAATCAATAAAAAAAATACATTTTAAAAAAGGGATCAAAAGTTTCGTACTTTGTTTAAAGGCATGAACTTTGCTCATTTTGTTCACTGCTATATCCCCACTGCTTGGAATGCATACTTGACACAGAGTAGGCACTCAGTAAATATTTTCTGAGTGACTATATACCAAAGGACTCTGAAGAATATGGATCACTGGCTTTTCTTTATTAAGACACAGGGTGTACCAAAAAATGTACACACACTTTGAATAATTATTAATCCCAATGGGTTAAATATGAAGAAAAAAGAAACATCAATCGAGCTATCAGCTGTTAAGTGTACATACGTTTTTTGGGACACCCTGTGCTTTCTGAAAGAAGATAGAGAGAAAATGGAATTCTGTCCTTCACTGCTTACCAAACACTTGAGCTGTACTTAGCCAGGCTGGCACAAGACACTACTAAACCGGGTCTTTTGCAGATTCCTTCCTGACTTTCATTCAGCATCTTTAGATTTTCTAAGTGCCTTCACAGTCACCACTCACTAGATTCTCACAATAACTTGGTGAGCTAATAAGTAGGGCAGCTATCATCTTCCCATTATGATTTTTAAATCACACCGGAAGAGGTTAAAAATGACCTGCCTACAATATTACTAGATGTTCCAGTTAATAATGCGGATTTTGTAACCAAAGAAAACATGATAATTTTAAGAGAAACATCAAAAGTGCTTTATTCAAAGTAATGTCCATCGCTAGCTACACATTTCCCCATCTTTCAGGTAATTTGTGGATACTGTCCCAATAGAACTTTTCTTGTTTTGAGGCAGACCATTCAGAGACCCAATTTTCTACTTCTTCATATGTTTTGAAGTGCTGCTCAGAAAGTGCATGCACCATTGATGGAAACAAGTGGTCAACTGAAGAAGCAAGGTCTGATGAATACAGCGGATGGGTTCATACTTCCTTTTAATGTGTCTTTAACTGGTTTTGAAGTGTGTGATGATGTGTCATCATGAAGCAAAATTACTTTGCTGTGTCTTCTGCCCCATTCTTGTCGTTTCATGATCAAAGCATGGTTCAAATTGATTATTTATTGTCAATAGCAATCAGTATTATGGTTTCACCTGGTCTTAGAAGCTCATAAGACACCACACCTTCCTGATCCCACCAAACGCAGAGCAGTGTCTTCTTTCCAAAGGGATTTGGCCTTGCAGTCAATGTTGATGTTTGACCTGGATCAACCCATGATTTTGTGCGTTTGGGATTCTCAAAATAAATCCACTTTTCATCACGTCACAATTTGATTTTACTGATGACTTTTCGGTTTTCCATTTGTCTTTCGTTCAGTTGATGTGGCACCCATTTTGCTTCCTTTAAAATATTTCCCATTGCTTGTAAACGATCGGAAATTGTTTGCTGAGCAAGGTTTAATCTTTCTGTGAGTCGTTTTTGAGTTTGACACGCATCTTCATCCAATAATGCTGGTCATTGTTGGTCTTCAAACTTTTTTGGTTGACCTGGACGTCTTTGTCTTTCACATAGAAATCATCCCTTTAAAGCATTTAAACCAGCCTTCACAAATATCTTGAGATGGAGCATATTCACCATAAGCTTCTCAAAGTATTCAGCAGCACTTTTCTTCAAAATAAAGTAGTGAATAATAACTTCCTTCGACATTTTTAAGAGTAAAAATATTTATGATGTTAAAACCTTCAGCAAATTGGACATGTGAAGTTTTGAAGCTTGCTGTTAATACAACAAAACAGCATACATACCAAATCACATATATATAATCAACATATGTGTAACTCCACCTATTGAAAAAAGTCCGCATTATTAACTGGTACACCTGGAACATGGTTATCTGAGGGGAAGGAGGGGGATACCCAGGGGACTTCATTTGAAATGGGATTGTTTAATTTTTTGCATTGGCTAACGAAAACACAGCATATTTGCTGAAATAATATTTATATTTATGTAGGTCATAATATTATATCATCAAAGTAGTCAACACACACACACACGTGCGCACGCACACACACACACACACACACACACACACGCGCGCGCGCGCACACACTCACACAGAGCTAGAAAACGGTACACTCACAACCAGGATTTCCTGATGGGTAAGTTTTCCATTTTAGTCTACCAATAATGTGTGCAGTTTCCACAAAATCCACTATGACCCAACCAGTGTGGAAACTGATTAACCAGATAAGATCCTGCATGCTTTCTCTAACCCTAAACAAGGAGAGGAAAGATGAGAAGTATTTGGCGACTCAGAGTCTGTTACAAGGATTTATTAGAGGTACTGATGGCACATGCCTTTGGCCCAAATACACATGGAAAAAGGGACCTTTCAGAAAGCCAGCCATTTCTCCTCCCCATTTCCTAACGTCCAGCTTCCCCCAAATAAACATACTACACACCCCTAAACACCAGTGCTGGCTATTGACTGTCTCACGTTCTCTTCACTGACCATAACCAGGTTTCTGAGCAGCAGGGACTCCCAGCACACCATGTAAATGTTTACAACTGCGTTTCCTTGGTCCCAGTCTCTACTCCTACCTTGATTATCTGGGGAGCCCACTGCTGTCACTCATACAGATGTCTGTGCTCTGCCTCCACGGGAAGAGGCACGCACTAGGAATACTCCTGTGCGGACAATCTTTCCTCCTAGCACAGAAGATCCATCCTTCCCCCGTGTTATCTGGACCGAAGCTGGGGGCTGAGGCAGGACAGAAGACGGTCCTCTCATTCTGGACCTTTCTGCCTTTCTCTTGGTTTCCTAAACTGGTGGATGTTTTTTTCATGTTCCTGTGATTTCATTCACTGGGTGGATTTTTTAATAACCTAGAATCTCAGTAATGACATCCCCGTTACCCTAGAGCTCAGACTTGAACTTTAGTGCCTTCATGGACTCAAAGCCAGCGGTGCCTCTAACAAACCCCACTCCTTCCAACCCCCGTGGTCCTAATTCAAGATTTGTTCTGAACACAAACTTATGCAAAAAAAATCTTTATCACAGAGAGGCAATATTGATCATCACATAACGTGGCTCAAAATATTCCTCAGAGAAAAGGGTATCTTTGCCGTTCTTATGGCTCTGTATACACTGTAAGCTCGCACTGGCCAAAACTCAATTTTAAACGCTCTGGTCACCAAAAGATAATTTCCAATTTACAAAAGCCAAACACCACATCATCACTTCTTGGTGCTCTTATTTGATAGAGACAAAATTCCTATTCTTTTCAATCTGTAAAACAATGAGTCGCACTGGCTGTGGAAGCAAAAGACAATCCCTCCTTTCTCTCCTCACCCAATTCTGGGTCCTCCCGTTTCTCAGCAGCATCACCAAGAACAGCTGAGTGCCTTGGCTGGAACCCTGACATGGAGTAATATTTAGATGCAAGCCTAGAGTAGCAGCGCAAAATCATTCTCAGCTCACTAGCTTGCATCACTGAACTCTTCTCTCAGTTTTTGCCATCTATTAAGTTATTGGTAAGGCCACAAGACTATAGGAAAAGATCCCAAATTTTACCATTCAAGTTTTTAAAAATGAAATCTCTGAATACAATGGAGCAATTAAAAATGGTAAAGAAATATAGTTCTACACAGAAAGTTGCTTGAAATATTTTATCCAATTATATAAACATCAGGACTCCTTTAGGGAAAATATATATGCAAATAGGAAATGTCTGAAAGAATATAAGCCCAAGAGTGATGGGATGATGGGCGTTGGAATGATGGACGATGGAAAGTGATGGGTGATGGAATCATGAATGACATCATTATATGTTGTACTTTCCCCCTTTTTTATAATGAGTATGTATTACATATGTTGAATTTTTTTAAACATTGTTTCTCAAGACCCAAATATGTAGCAAATAACTGTAACTGTATTATGCCTTTAATTTATCAGTATCACCCCAAATGTCAGCTCTCTACTTCAACTACAAAAGTTTTTATATTAAATGTTCAATAAACTTCAAGTAAGAGGAAAGAATGTAAGTAGGGACTTAAGGTTTACCAACCTACTAGGTAAAGATATCAGATAATTATCTAATTTGAGGTAAAAGCAAAAATTAACCTAGAGAATCAGGAACAACTCTTACCAGCTGCTATTGGCTTCACCTTTACGGTAACATAAATAAAATTTAGATTGTTTAAAGAATCGATTTTTTCCCTAAAGGAAAAAAAAATGACTGATATTTATAAGTAATATGCAGTAGAATTCTTCCAATAAAAGAAGAAATCCTTTTGAATTGAGAACAAGTAAGCTCGGATCTTTGTGTTTCAAATGCAGCAGCAATGCTAGGCGCAGCCTAGATGCTGGTTTTCCTGTTTTCCGGGGTCCCTATCCTGTCATGCACTTGCTAGCAGCCAGGCCTGGAGTGTGTCCCTAACTTCCTTAGGCTAGTTTTTCACACGTAAAATTAACACATTAAACAGAACAATCTCAAAGGTCTTGCCACCCACAACCACCCCGTAACTCTAAACAAAACTGCTCTATTCCACTGCTTCGGGCAAAGCACATCCAAGACATCAACAATGATGGTACAGAGCCCAATCCCCCGGGCACCACTAAGAGCACACGGAGGTCAT